GATAATCACAAAACGGGCCAGTAACATTTTTTCTCTCTTCTAATCTAGAAATTAAGGACAGCAAACATTTGTGTAATTCATCCACCGTCTTGCTTCTGTTTTACTTTGCATTTTGTTTGCAGTAGCAGATTGTGCCTCATCATACATATTAGAGGAATTTTAAGTTCTTAAACTTTAAAATGGCAAATCTTTTTGACACTTTCCACATTTATTCTGATTTAAACTCTGACATGTGATGTCAGAGACAAGGCATTAGAGTCATAGGTGCTTTATTGCTTACTTGTTTCTAAAACATGTATTATGCAGTTATCAAGGCGTTAGATAAGGTTAGACATCTTCAACTTTCATATAATTACAGTGGGAGTGCTTTTCATTAATTGTAACGAGGATGCTGTTATTGAGCGTAGCCGCTTATTACAGTGGAGTTTGTCCTGTTGTGACCTACTTGGAAGGCCCCTGGTCCACATCAGGGCCCTGCTGATGGAAGGCTTTGTGGCTGTGAGCTGATGCGGCCCAGCTGGTAATCAGGACAGGTTGCTGACTCCTGGACATCTCAGCTCCAGCTCTAGCGGTGATGACTGCATTTTTAAACAGCAGCAGGATTCCCGGGTTGGCTGTCCTCAGACTCTTAAGGCAGTGCATTCTAAGTAGGGCTTGGTTTTTTAATTATTGAAAACAATTGATTTTCTTTTTCTTTTTCTCTCGTCACAGGCTTATTATAACAGATAAATGTGACGGTGCCCTGAGGTCCACGGAGCTTTAAGAGCAGCTGCAGTCCCGCAGACTGGAACAAGTACAGTAGCCTACTGGCTGTAAGTGGGGGCGGAGCTCTGACACACAGCGTGATGGGTTCACCAGCCCCTGACATGAGTCTGACTGTTATGTAGCTGGCCAGGTATGATAGCTACTAGCAGTTCAACAACCTCTGCTTATTACAAGAGCATGCAAATGACTTCCCTTTATTTGTCAAGAATTTCCATGGTCCCTAATCTATCTATTTATTCATCTCTTCATCTATTTGATTTAGTGTTTAACTCACTTATTAAACTAGCCTCCAAACACTCATGACAGTGAACAATTCAAAGCCACGAAAAATGTTTGTGTTGGTCTGTTGTGAGTAATTTGAATCCTTCTCACGGTATTTTAATTATATAGTTTAATTATACCCTGTGTGCTTTATAGAATACGTGCTGTAATGATCACTTATTATTCATTAAATGGCTTATTACATTGCATTTGCTTTTGCCCTACAGCCAATATTCAGTGGTAACTCTGAATAATGAGTAGAGTGGTGGGGATTGCTATAACATAGGAAACAACCATGAAGAGGTTGCCTTTATTGTGCAATGTAATACAAACAACATTTACTTTATCAACTGTTAAGTGTGATGCTTTTTAGGTATTTTGCCTTGAATGAGTATCAACCAGTTTGTGTTTTGTTATTTTCCATTATCAGTCAATACATTGCTACACATGATGGGGGTAAATGATCACATGTGGGGAGTTTTCTAGCAAAGAGTGACCCTGTAAGACTGCTGTTGGGATATGGTGACACCCCATGGTGGATTTCTAGCACTGCCCTGCTGTTGTGGTACTGTCTTCTCCTCTAGGTGGCACACTCACACCAGGAGCCTCTGCTTAGGTCAGTCTCGGTCCTCTGGATTAGAATTGTAATTGCGTGCATCTCAGACATGCATAGATCAGATACCCTTCCTCTCCACAGGGCTATTCTTGCCTTCTGGCGCTTCAGAAATGCTTTTTTTCTAATATTATTCTATTAGTTTAGAAATTTGAGGCCTGGTTTCCTGTCTTTGATATGGACTGTTCAGCAGTCAGACCCACTGAGGTGCATCACAGTACCTTTAACACATTATACTCCTTGGAAAGTTAAAGTGGGAGTCAGTTGGAATTTAAAAAAAAATCTCTATCAGTACTTTTATCTTTTTTTGCTCCATTTTAGGGTTCATCAAAATGATGTCCTTCTACCAGTTTGTTTTTCTGGAATAAGATTATTTCTACTGTCATTAGCGCTGCAGTTAAGTTGTGTGTTTCATTTTGCGATATTCTTCTGAGATGTCTGTGTTTTGCAGTTTTTTTAAATGTTTTATTTTACTTATATTATTCGCACCTCTTGCTTGCCTCATAAGGTCAACTTAGATCATTCAGAAGTTGTTAAAAAATCATGATGATTATCAAACATCCCTATGTTCTGTTACACAGCATAGATCCAGTCTTTCACAATTGGTGCAGACTTTAGAGGGTGGCCTGATATAATCTAATCCATTACCAAATAAACAAGGCCTCATTAAGTCCTGGTCGTCTCGTCTGCTCTTCTAGGCATGTGACTTCTCCAAAGGTGTGCATGCTCACCCATGGCCTCTCTGTGCTACCTCTGCCGGTTGTAGCTTCTCTGTTTTCAGGAGAAAATGTTTTCCATTCCTGGGCCAATGAATGCCACCTTTGTCCCTTCATCCTCCATCTTGTGTGAGAAAGCCCCCCTCGCTGCACTCACCAAGCCTGCACAAACTTAACCTCTTCCCCCTCCACCTCACACAGGAAAAGAAACATACCGGCTCTGGCGCTTTGATTTAGGCTCAGTAATATGGAACTCTGGATAAAGCCCTGTTTGAGAGGCGAAATCTAGGGTCTTTTTGGGGAGAAAGAGGTCAGCGACTGTCAAAGTGCGAGAGGAGCATATGATTGGCATACTAAGACAGGAAGCTCTGTTTTTGGATTATGAATAAAACAGAAGAGGCTGGCAGGCATATGAAAGCTTTAAAAAAGGTGACCGGAAATCAACAACTTTAAAATCAACTAAACATTCCTTATCCTTGTTATGAGCCTATAGTGGTCGTCTCACCAATTATACTATCATTATCTTACAATCTATCAATTCTACTCACAATGTTGCACCATTGACTTGAATTCAAATATTACCTCAGAGACCAACTGCATAACACTGAATCCATTTTCTAGTTTAATTCACACTTCCAGTATTCAGCAAACGCCTATTTTTTAATGAGTGGCTATTAACTAAAAGCATGAAATAGGTTTATCACACAGAATCAAAGCCTCATATTAGAGACTGTTAAATACTTGCAGAGATTTAATGCATCGTTTAGTTCATCTCTCATGTTAAAGGATCAAAGCCATTATGACTGTGCCTCCCTAGTGGATAGAATTCCATTTCCTCTCTAACTTAGTCTTAACCACACAGTGATACACCTGTATTAATTTCCTTGATATTTTTGCCAACGTGCCAAAGTATTTAGAATAACCTTTTACCTGTACATAGTGTGGATGGCTGCGAGTTTTGGAGCAACCTACATACTCCTGGCTATACTCACTACAAGTATGTAGTATTGTATTTTACTGTTTGACTCATCTAAATCATTGTGGCCTTCTATCCCAAGCGTTATGGTTTGATGTGGCCCACTGAAATATAACCCTAGTTTTTGAACCGTTTAGAATGAATGCTTCCTTACAATGTCCTAGTGAAGGAATTGTAAAGAATTGGATATAAAGGGGAATACATTTTCAGTTAGTATGAGCACATATCTATGCAGTACATTTAGGTAAATGAAGAATGACTGCAGCAATTACTGTTGACCCAACATAAAAATGCATGAAAATTGAAAATGCCTTCCCATCTGTATATTCATGGATCCCAGAGGATGATTTCCACCCTTGAAGCTAGTCACAGAATTCTTGATTCCCAATGTCTCCATGACTCTATAGAATGTGGTGGAGCTCAGAACTTATCAGCATAGGCCACAATCTCACACTCTCTCTCACTCTTTTGCCTTGCTAAAATATGTCAGCATGAAACTGCTTTACATAGAGAACGGGAAACTGAAATGCTTGAAAACTTAAAACTCTGCACCCTGAAGTATTTTTTCGGTCTTGAATACAAAACAATGTAAGTTTTACAGAGAAGTTTTCCTGTCAGTATTTCTCTCAGCATTTCTTTATTTTCGACCATGCGCCTCCGTACAACGGCCTCCACAAAGTTTTGCTTATTTAGAATTGATTATTTTAACAGAAACATCCACACTGTTGAGTTTTATGAGGTTGAACATTCTTTCATCTGAGAGACCTGTTCATACTTGGCTCTAGGTGGGCGCAGACCATCCTCTGGCCGCTGGCGTGCGTTTGCACAGAGGCCCACAGCCACCCCTCTAACACGGTCACTGTGCCGAAACCTAGACACCCTGTAGACCCCTGGAGCCTCTGTACACCCGTACAGTACAGAGATCAGCCCCCCCATCACCACCCTCCTTCCGATGCTGCCATCTCTTCCCCTTCCCTTCCCCCCCAACCCCCCCCCCACCCCCCTCCCGTCCTCCCCCTTTTCATCCTCTGAGCTTCCACACCCTTCCTCACCCACCAACCCCCATCCTCACCATGCAGCTATCCCACTGCCCTGCCATCTCGCAGCATTCCGCGGGCCGTGCACACAGAGGCCTATTGTGTGTGCTGGAAGACGGCAGAAGGCAGTATACAGTGAGAGCACCATAGAAAAAGGACATGCAGAGCCTGACTGGACCTCTTTTCCATGCTGTACCTTGACACAGATCCGTAGCTGAAATGGCACCGACATTTACTGCAGCATTGTTTCAAACAGAGCTGAATGCAGGCTAAACATTTGTCTAATGCCAGAGATAGTGCCGGTTCTTTCTTTGACTAGTCTAGTCGTTTTTGTGAATACGTCCATGCAGCTGTATTTTATCATTTAACAAATTGCCCTCTAAGATGAAGCTCTTCCCAATGGAAATGTGTCTCAATTCTTCTGTAAGAGGAAGCTAAATTAATTTGACCTGCCAGTACTTCAGTGTTTGTGTGGAGTGGCACTGTGCCCTTCTACTTGTGTTTAAAGGCAATCATTATTGATTCAGCTGGAAAACTGGTTGTTTAAATTCCAGAAATGCTTTCCTCCCTAGACTCATTAGTTTCATTGCTGCTTGTTGTTTTTTGTAGGAAAAAAACTGAATATTGCTAATACCCTTACTTATGACCCATCACACCTAATTGTCTCAGGTCAAGAGGATGATCTTAAACGGAGAGGAGATGCATCTCAGTGTTAAGTGATGCTGGCAGAGCTAGTATGAATATTAGTTTTAAGACTTCTGCCTAACGAAATTGCAATTTACTAAACCACTCAGAGCTGGCAGAGGTAAGATATAAAATCTTGCCTGGGTTAAATAAGATGTTGTATATTTCTTTCCTGCATAAGGAATGAGCAGCACGCACTCAAAGGCCATAACCCTGGAATTACTGTTCCTCTCATCATGACAAAGACTCTTTCAAACCCAACTGGTCACCTGGCCCTATCTACTGTAGAATCATGATAAAGATCATCAGGCTTCTGTTTCAGTTTCACGGTAGCCAGTCCTGGCATATATGTGCTATTATGTTAAAACAGTCGATCTGAAAGTAAATTCATGATAAATTGAACATTTAATTGGGGATTTCAGAACATAAAGTTCTGTGTCAAGGGAATATTCCTTTTATGCGGGTTATTCAGGATGGTTCTTTTACTTTGTCTGAACAGACAAGCTTCCCACACAGGTTTACTGTAAGGGAATGAGCCTCGACGGCTGATTAGTCTGCACTTTAAGGTTGTCTAAACTTTGCAGATTAATCCATAATCCAAGAGGCTTCAGTGGAACAAAGAATGCTGCTGACCTAGTGTTGAGCTCCCATAACCAGAACCTTCAACATTTGTTAGTTCTAGATGAAGGCTGCTTAATTTCTGGGCTAGTCAGAGGCTGCGCAGAGTGTTTGCGCCTCGCTTTGGGGCTTGTTCATAAGAAAAGATGGACTTGAACTGATGAAGCCATCGGTCATCGTAACACAGAGGGTAGTGCTGAAACACAGATTTGGGATGACCTGATTCAGGGACACAATGGCGTGGCGTTGAGCTGCAGCCTGACCTGTGTTCTTCTGCATGTGGATGCCTTTTTATGAGAAAGTGAAGGTGCATCTCTTGACCAGCCAAAGCAGGTCAGGAGACGAAGGAGGGCTTTTTTGAAAAAAAAAAGAAAAAAAATCCTTGGGAGCACACATGCTGTTAAATTGAAAGGAGGGAGGAGGAGGTTCAGGTTTCAGCCTTACAGGGGGTCTGGGGGAAGGACTGGCATTTTGGAATATACGAAGATCCATACAAGGCACAGTGGACATAAAACCGCGGTGCTTGCCCTGACGCGCTGGGTGCAGAGTGCCAGCTGGGGCCCCGCGTTGGATTCCACTTAGTTTTTGGAGGGTTTGACTGCATGGTGCCGTAAGTCTCTGGGATCACACACTTCAAACGTCACCTCACTGAGAGCCTGGTCTCCGGCATCCCGTCATTTCTCACCCAAGCTCCTGCATGTCTAACATTTAGACATGTTCAGCTTTGTGGACTCAAGGACTGTTCTGCTACTTGTAGCATCCCATCTTGTTTTACTATCCGTGGTCAGATGTCAGGAGGAGGACGACCGTAAGTTGCACCGTCTTTTTTTTTCCTTAGAACTGGCAAAAAGTTTAACCAATTATTGTTTCACTGTTCCTCACCTGTAGCTCCAGAAGATTTGCAAAGCGGCAGAATGTAAAGTGGATGGATGTAATAGTTTTGCCATTTGTGTCATTTTTTAAGTAGAAACTGTCAGACAAAAAGATCAATGTCATGTCACAAAACCCTTGTGAATGTCTTTCTGAAGGATGGGTAAGGATGTCAAGCTGCATCTGCATGGGATGGAGGACAGGGTTTGTCCTCTCCCAAATGCCACTGCCCAACCCTCCCAGATAGATTTGGTGACATTACTAAAATAAGTAACGTAACATAGCTTCCTGATCCCTTTTCTTAGCCAGTACATGACAGAGACTTGTATCCACTGTAGAAAAGTGAAAAATGTCATTTTTTTGTGGGACTTTGAAACAAACTTTGCCCACTGGGTTTGGCTTGCACAAATTCAGAGTTTGCTTGATGTGAAGTGACAGGGTCAGCCAAAGCCTGACCCCAAACTTCTAGACTCAAAGGGTTGCAGGAAGGGAGTCAGACAAAAGATGCTGCGCACAGCAAGCAGCCGACGGATGATTAATAGATCGTTCTATTGTCACAGGATTAACTTTTGCTTCGTTTTGTTCTAAAAGTTTAGAAAAAGCAGCCCTGATTTTTTCTTTTTGTTGCAAGTAGCAAATATTCCTGAAATGACAGTTGCAGTCAGGCTCCAAACTTAACTGTATACATTAAACAAATCACCCATTCTTACTTCCCAAACGTGTTTGCACTGGCGCTTAACACAACCATGGGATCCAGATGGATGGATTTAGAGAGAGCCTCTGTTTACTTACAGCAGCAGCTTGTCAATTGGGCACAGTGTCCCTATAAGAGAGGTTCATTCATACAGGCAGCAGAGCAGGTCTGCAGGTTAAGTACACTCAGCCGACGCTGTGAAATACCTCAGTTAAGGCTTCAAGCACAACTGCTAACTGTGGCTTGTGTTTACATTACATTTTGTGGGGGTATCGACTCCCCTTAAGATAACTTAGGGATAACTTTTTTTTTTTGCTTGCCTCATAAATTAATTCAAGAACTGACAATTCATAGACGTGATCCTTAAGATCCTTAAGATATGTGACAGTGTAATTCTTGATCGAATAAACTCCTGATCATCAATATCAAAGGAGCAAGTGATCTATTGCTGTGAAAAATAAGAAGATTTCCTTTACTAATGCATTTCTAGTTGTTTATCAGTTAGATCAAAATTATTTTTTTTTATACAGCTCTTTGCATTTGATATTATACAAGATAACTTTTTGTCTGCTTCTTTCCTTCATTCCCCTCCCCCTTATATGTTAATTCTTTCCTCTCCATTTTTACTCCTCCCCCTTCCTCACCTTTCTGCCCTGGCTTCTAACACTGCCTTATCTCCACTTCCTTCTTCTACATCAACAACATGTGCTATACAAACTCATCCCTTTCTCTGAATCCCTTTACCTCTCCTTGACTTATTCTCCCTTTGACCATCCTCTCTGTCTGCACTTGGCTCCCTTTCTCCCCGCGCACCTGCCCCGCGCCCCCTGCCGGTCATCACAGAGGAGGCAGGTGGCTGCGTCCAGGATGGTCAGCAGTATAATGATAAGGATGTGTGGAAGCCAGAGCCATGCCGTATCTGTGTGTGTGACAGCGGATCGGTTCTGTGCGATGAGATAATCTGCGAGGAGATCAAAGAATGTGCCAACCTTATCATCCCATCTGGAGAGTGCTGTCCCATCTGCGCTGCTGATGCCAGTGACCCTATTGGTTGTAATTTATTTATTCACACACCTATAAATAAATTACTTGTGCTTGCATTTATATCCCTCGTGGGATATATCTCTAACTCTTTTGAATGGGGAACTTACCACTGGAGCCAAACATTGTTTCTGATAAGACTAGCAAAAGTCACTGATAACAGTTTTAAGTTTACTTTTAGTGGTTTGGTATTCTCTAATCGTAGTTTCAAGATTTGGGAATTTGTGGTCTTTTATTTGGCATCCACCTGGTGTTCCTTATTCCAAAGTAGCTCTCTAAATATTGATTCTGGAGACTAGATAGCATCATCAGGATTGCAATGCCCCTAATGACCATGTGGGATTTGGATCCTGGGATGTGCTGTATCGTCCCCTCTTGAAGAAAACAGCACACTTCTGCCCACCTTAACAAGAGTTACTAAGTCATAACTCAAAGATCAATGGGACCCATTTAAAGGTTTCCAACAAAGTAACATTGTTTTTTAAAAAGTCTATTAAAGTCCACTCTCTTAAGTTTGAGGTTCACATAATCAGTGTCTGCATCGCTGTTATGTCTTAAACAACAGTGAATGTTTGAGCATCTTTCAATTAAATAATTTTTGGATGACTTACATGACAAAACAAAGCCATAAACATTTGAATAAAACTGTGCTGGTTACATAAAAAAGTCATAGAAATGTTTGAAGATTTGTCAAAATAAGTAACATTTTCTATGCCTCATAATGAAGTGGCAAAATAAAAAGTGACTTAAAAGTTTTGGTTTAACTAATTTGTTCTATACAATTTGTGATAGCAAACAAGAAATGTTACCATTCTTGATTTAGATGGTGCTCATCGGAGCTTGCTTTTACATTCTGCATTAAATATCACATCCAAACTGCCATATATTTGCTGGTGCTTGCTTCTGCTTCTTCTCTTGCATCATTAATATACCGTGGATGGGTTCTTTGCCTTTGGTGAATGCTATTTGATCTCTGCAGCATCATTATATTTGATCGTGTTAGTAACTGAAGGTTGATGATAATTTAGAAGTGGTTTCACATCGGTTTTGTGTTTATGATTCACCCTTAATGATGTTTTCTGTTTTTCCCCCCACCAATCCATCTGCATCAACAGAAACATTCACTGCTAGGGTAAGACAACCGTTGGGAAAATGCTACCAAACAAGTGCAAAAAAAAACTGATAACGCAACTCCACAAAACATGTTAGATGTTGTGCTCAATTCACTAAATATATGTATATTTCTTTATATCAGGGTCAGAAAGGAGAACCAGGAGACATTGCAAATGTGAGTAGACCCGTTGAGTACCTGATAGTGACCTTGTTTATATGAAGTTGAAACCTGTTGTCTAATGAAGATCTTTCAATTAACATTTTTTTCTCTTAATGTGAAAATGAATTTCTCCTTATTATTTCTTATATTTAAATTTAATATGTTTAAATATAAATATAATATAATATGTGCAGCAACATACATACATGACACAATTCACTATTCAGTGTTGCTGAACTATACAGCACTTTTCAACATTTCTATTTCAGTTAGTTTTCTTAAGCCACTTCTCACCAAGCAGAGACTCACTAAAACATTTCAGACTAGCTTAGATCAGGGGGGGGGAAACCCACATTCCAGGGACATAATGAACCCAATCAAATCCTCTTAGATCTTCTCGGCAATTTTGGCATAAACACACATCAGGCGAAAAAAGCCAGCCAAATCAGTAAGAGCAGGTGATGTTTTCAGAAAAGCTCGCCTTGTCGATTTAAATTATCATCAGGTTTAGTTTTTAGTTTCATTTCCATCCATGATAAAACTGGAATGTTCTCTGATATAAAAGATCTAATTGGACACAGTTTGTACAATGGCTCTAAGGGGGTTCTATAACAGTCTTTCTATCTTTGTGCAGGTTGTAGGACCTCAAGGACCACCAGGCCCTATGGTAAAGTTTCCCTTGACCTGTTTTGTTTAAACTATTTTCAAATAGTGAATAAAAGTCAGCATAATTCTTCTCCAAAGCTAAAACGAGGGATAACCGTTGCAATTGCAGCAAATCAATATGATTTTGTTTCCTTTGCAGGGGCCCCCAGGTGAGCAGGGATCACGTGGAGAAGCTGGCGCTAAAGGTGATAAGGTAAGAGTGGAAACCAAAATAAAATCCGTAATATTTAATCAACACAGAGTGCTTCCTACTCAGCACATAAACATGAGCAGCAGCCAGTTCCGATGTATTATGCACAGCCTTTTCTGATACATGGAGAGACTTGGAGAAAAAACCCATCTCTCTTTTCCCCAGGGAAATCCTGGACCTCGAGGAAGAGATGGTGAGCCTGGCACCCCTGGAAACCCTGGACCCGCTGGCCCACCTGGACCACCTGGACCACCAGGGCTTGGAGGGGTAGGTCTAAGGACACTGAACCAGCTCCTTCAGATTTAAACCACAAGCAGCACTGTGTTAGTCATGGAGCTGGATTAAGATGCATTCGAAACAGCATGCTCAACATTGCCAGACTTTCATCATGTGTTACTTCTAATTAAACTTATTGTAAATACCTTGGCAACACTTAACTTGATCCAGCAGCACATATCTGTGTCATCCTTTCTGAGGGAAGAAACACTTGTAATAGAAACATGATAGCCACAAGGAGCAGGTGCAGATTTGTCCAGGTGCTTCCTCTGTCATGCTAATGAAGCAACATTCTTATCAACCCTTTGGGCCACAGTGGCACAAACAGATAAACCTAGCATAGCTGATTTCTGGTCTTTGTATGATTTGTGTTCTCACAGAACTTTGCTGCTCAAATGGCTGGAGGTTTTGATGAGAAGGCAGGCGGAGCTCAGATGGGTGTAATGCAGGGACCAATGGTAAGTAGCACAACACACAGCCCACTTTTTATGTTGGTGCAGGCCTACCTATGTCACGTTAAAGGCAGTTAATACACCAGCAAGAGGACACACCATGACTTGGTTTGAGTGGGCATGCTACTGAAAATGAACTGTGAGGAGCAAGTCATGCCACAGAAGGACAGAGGCAGCGCTGCCATCTTGTGGCTGACTAGTTGCACTCCAGCACAGATTTATAAATGATACTTACAGAACCAACTACTCTACTGGAGCCTTTAACAAAAATGAGGGATATGTCTGAGTGTCATCATTTTGAAGTACAATCAAACTGAAATGACAGCTAAGTGTCATATTGAGTCTCATAAGGGATTATACTATAAAAACCATGGGAACACGATTCTAAAAATGTTGGAGTTTTTTTCAGTTTCTTTGACATAAGAAATGATCTAATAGTATAAGATATTCCACTCCAGTCATAATTGACATATATAAGATGTAAATTATTCTTAGTGATAGTAAATGATCTTAAAAAATTGAATAATAAAACAAACAAACAAACAGAAAAAACAAAAACAACAATGAATCCCGATTGACACTGTTTGTTATATGTCACTGCAGGGTCCTATGGGTCCTCGTGGTCCTCCTGGACCTACTGGAGCTCCTGTGAGTATATTATATACGTTCATTATCATTCTAATACATAATGTGATTTTTATTTATGAGGAATCAGCCAATGTGGAGTTCAGAATTGAACACTCTGGCATATATAAATAAACATATTACTGATGTTTTTCTTTACTTTTTGCAACAACAGGGGCCACAGGGATTCCAAGGTGCACCTGGTGAGGCTGGAGAGCCTGGTCCAGCTGTAAGTATCAGTATATATATCTCTCAAACAGACATTAGTTTGTCACGTCTGTTGGAATGTTTGGCGAAATCATAAAAACAATAATAACAAAAACTAATAACAGCCTAATATAAATTATAATATGAGTTTATGTCATTTAAACCGGCAAATGTAACCAATAAACAAATGTAACCAAGTTTTGTTATTACATTTTGCATCATTTAACCCTTTCTAATTGTCTTTAAATGGTTCATAGAGCACAGTGTCATTCATGCTTTGTTCTCCTTTGCTCCTCATTGACAGGGAACAATGGGTCCTCGTGGACCACCTGGACCTTCTGGAAAACCAGGAAGTGATGTGAGTACTGGGACCTCTTCTACACAGGAAAATGACTATTTTTCCAGTTCTCAGCCGAAGTCCCATGGCCCAAAACATTTTTTCTTAATTATGCCTCATGTAAAGAAAGAATATTCTAAATTAACTCCTGACTTTTACTTCACACAGTGTTTTTATGACCTTTGATGTAATGGTCATTATTAATTATATACTGTATACCACCAGAAGGCGCTGTCTGTCATCTAACAGTGCTGACAAACTCATGAAAAATGAGTCAAACTGTGAAGTACAGTACTGCCGAACATAATTATGCAAGCAAACTGCTTCAACAAATAATCTTTTCACTTCCTGTTTGTTTGTAGGGTGAGGCTGGTAAACCTGGCAAAGCTGGTGAGCGTGGACCTGCAGGGCCTCAGGTGAGGGACTATTATCCTCATCATTTAGTCATTTATTATTGAATATTTCATATTCTGAACCACATGAATACCCCACATTTACAACAGATTAGAAGATAATAGTGATTGAGATATACACATTTACTTTATTCAGGGAGCTCGCGGATTCCCTGGAACTCCTGGACTTCCTGGAATTAAAGGACACAGAGTAAGTATTGGAACCTGATGCTTATCTGAGACGCAGAATAAAATAATTCCACTCACAGAGCTGTAGCCGCTGATACTGTCCTCATGTGTCTTATCTTGTGTTGTTGTAGGGTCATCCTGGTCTAGATGGAGCAAAGGGAGAGACTGGAGCTGCAGGAGCCAAGGTACGTTCACCTGGGGTGAATTCCTAATGCCGTGCTTTATTTCCTGGTTGCTGCTCACAGCTTCCTTTCTTTCTGATCTCTGTTCCCGTCAGGGTGAGGGTGGTGCTGCTGGAGAAAATGGTTCCCCTGGACCTATGGTGAGGCCTCACTGCTGTTTTCCCCTTAATACTGTATAGTGTAGCTGCTACATGTGAGAAATAAAATGCATCTGTATGATTCGGTTGACTCAGCGACTATCTTCCCTCTCAGGGCCCGCGTGGTCTGCCTGGTGAGAGAGGACGTGCTGGAGCTGCAGGAGCTGCTGTGAGCATCCACTACTTATCTTCTTCAGACAAACAGCAGAAATATGTTTCCAGAAATATGTTTTCTGCTGTTCTTGCAAGTTTCACTCCAGTGGAAGATTTTCTTTTTATTATGATGAACTGACTGTTGTCTTTGCCCTCTATAGGGCGCTCGTGGAAATGATGGCTTGCCCGGACCCGCTGGTCCACCTGTATGTATCGTCCTTTTGTATCCGCCTCATTGAATTTACATTTCCCTAACAAAAATCACATTCAATTACACATAGAAGTTGCAAATTGATGGTAGTTATATAAGATGTCTAAATTTAAGATTATAACTCTCTCTCTACAGGGACCAGTTGGCCCTGCTGGAGCTCCAGGTTTCCCAGGATCCCCAGGATCTAAGGTTTGTAGTTTCAAAATCAATTCAATACCCTTTTCCAAGTTTCCTATCCTGTAAATGAAATGTGTACTTTTTTTTCATATTGTTTGGTGACTTAGTTGATTGTGAATAATAGACACATTTCTATGATGCTCCTCAAACTAGGGAATAGAGTAGCACACTAGCTTTATGTTCAGCTCTGTGATATACTGGTCCAAAATCTTCATCCATTCAATAACTTGAAGCTGGATCACTTGGTTTCTGTTTAAGTGAATGGCAAAACTGTTGTGAACTCTCAGGGAGAAGCTGGCCCTACTGGTGCACGAGGAGCTGAAGGAGCACAGGGACCCCGCGGAGAGGCTGGTACTCCAGGATCTCCCGGACCTGCTGGAGCATCGGTTTGTTTTTGATTACTTCTTTTAATTTTCTAAGCTTTGAGATAACCACGGAACTGGACAATGTTTCTCCAAACCAGTTTCTATGGTTACACTTTGCTCTAATGCTTCTTTTTCTGTGTCTGGACAGGGTAACCCTGGTACTGATGGTATTCCTGGAGCCAAAGGTTCTGCGGTAAGTCTCTCATTGTGTTTGACTGTCTTGTGATCTCATATCACATTATTTTTTTGAGCAATTGATCTAACTTTTGCTTTATACTAATATTATGTTGGATTTTCCCTTTCTCCTTGAAGGGCGGTCCTGGTATTGCTGGTGCTCCTGGGTTCCCAGGCCCCCGTGGTCCACCTGGGCCACAGGGAGCCACAGGACCTCTGGGGCCAAAAGGACAGTCTGTAAGTCAGCTGGGGATGATCTGAAATATGACAGAATTGATACTTATCAGAGTTTACTCTTGTGGCTACTCTTGTTCATTGTGTTTCCATGTTTTAGGGAGATCCTGGCCTTCCTGGGTTCAAAGGTGAAGCTGGACCAAAGGGAGAGCTTGTGAGTGTCTCAAAATTAAATTTAAAAAATGTTTAACTATAGATTCACTTTAATCAAGCAATTTAAGAGACTTTTCAGAATATAAGTTGATTCATTCAAATATCTCTACATTACAGGGGCCAGCTGGTCCTCAAGGTGCCCCTGGCCCCGCCGGAGAAGAAGGAAAGAGAGGCGCCAGGGGAGAGCCTGGAGCTGCTGGACCACTTGGGCCTCCAGGAGAGAGAGTAAGTAACAGAGATGAGCACAATATGGCATTGGCATGGATAACGTTGGATAATGCATTTTCTAAACAAATACATGTTTATTTTTTGTGCTGCTTTCTAGGGAGCCCCCGGTAATCGCGGTTTCCCAGGTCAGGATGGTCTGGCTGGTGCTAAGGTAGGTCTTGCCCAAACTAAACTAAATGTACATATATACAGTCAGAGCAGATTTCAGATTTTCTGACACCATTAGCTTTTTCTACAATGAAAACTGTGCAGCAGTACATGCTACGACACTTGATTGTACTGGAGCTAAATCAGAGCTTTTGTCTTCCCTTCTTCAGGGTGCTCCTGGTGACCGTGGGGTCCCTGGTGCTGCTGGGCCTAAAGGTGCTACTGGAGATCCTGGGCGCACAGGAGAATCTGGCCTCCCTGGAGCCAGAGTAAGTCTTGTTTTTTTGGTCTTATCAGTCCAAAAGCAGCCATCTCGATTTGCAGTCCTGTAGTCCCCTGACAGGACATTAAGTGAGGTTGGTTTAAAAGTGTGACATTTCTTTTAATGTGATGGCAAGATTTTTCCCACTTTTTTACTTGATGGTTGCTGTGATCTGTGTACATTTCATAGGGTCTCACTGGACGTCCTGGTGATGCTGGTCCTCAAGGCAAAGTTGGACCTTCTGTGAGTAAAGCATCCACCATTAACATACCATGCCCTAATATACTGATACCATTTTTAGATTAACTATGTAAATTGAGAAAGTTTGTAAGTATGGATTACAGTATTTATCTAAATGATAAGAGCCAACCTAAAGAAAAAAACAGAGAAGCTAATTCATCCCAACACATTTCATGGTTAAAACAACCGTCATAAAAAAAAACCCATCAAGCTAATTTTAATGTTCGATTTAGGTTTAATTTCACAGCTATGTGGAATCCATATGGGTGAAACAGAACAGTTTACACCATCCAACAAACCTGACAATGTAAAGCACAAATCCGGTTCAACTGAAAAAAATCCTTTTTGAGTACTTTCGTTTTGTGTAGAATCTGCATGTCCAGTAGTATAAACATTGTTTTTATGATAATGTAAATATTTAATCACCCAGACTAATTTCTGCTGTTTCTGCAGTTTTAGGGGTTTCTTGTCAGTGTGTTTTAATATGTGTCTTTAACAGGGGGCTGCTGGTGAGGATGGTCGTCCCGGCCCACCTGGTCCACTGGGAGCGCGTGGACAGCCTGGAGTTATGGGATTCCCTGGACCAAAGGGAGCCAATGTATGTGTGTCGATGTTTCTATAACAGTAGATTAACAAATTGCCACTATTAAAAAAACAAGCCAACAGATGACATAGCTGGTGTTAAATTCATGACACAGTGAAGCTCAAAGACTTCCTTTGCACAGGGTGAGCCTGGAAAGACTGGAGAGAAGGGACTTGTGGGCCGTCCTGGTCTGAGAGTGAGTACTTGAAGATAAGACCACACTTTATTCACTTTCACTCTGACAGAATACTTCTTAGCAATTTTTGTGTCAAAGTTATATTCACAATTTGAAAACCCCTCTGTGAACAGGGTCTGCCTGGAAAGGATGGTGAGACTGGTGCTGCTGGACCTCCTGGCCCTGCTGTGAGGATTTCATAATAATCCTATGCTCTTACATAAATATTATATTAATCTGACAGTCCACTTAACTGATCTGGTATGTTTGCATCCACAAATTTAGGGACCTGCCGGAGAGAGAGGAGAACAAGGACAGCCTGGACCCTCTGGCTTCCAGGTAAGTTCCATGACTCTACCACAATAAATATAGACAATGGATGGATTCTTAACAGTTAGTTACTTAAAAATCATGTATTTAGGAAGATTGGGGACATTTAGGTTAGGTAGTCTGTATGTACTGGCATGATTTCACTAACTTGTTTGCTGTTGTTTTACAGGGACTGCCTGGGCCAACTGGTTCCCCAGGAGAGGCTGGAAAACCTGGTGACCAGGTGAGTTGTCAGTCTGCCCTAGGTCAGTGTCTTTGTCCAGAAATCCCTGGAAATACTTTGAGCCCAAGATGTCATATAGCATGAATGTCATGCCTACATTAATGATGGAAGAACTTACATTTCTGGGCCATCAAACCAACATGTTAGACTTTACTGAAATGGATGGGGGTGAAAGTCTAGTGGGGTAGGTTGACAACAAGATGAACATCATCTGATGTAAAATACTATATGCTCATTCCAAAAAAAGATAAAGAATAACTTCAGCATATCGATTAACATATAAATCTATAATAACTTTCTTGTTATACTTAGTATACTACACGCTCACTTCATGGTTCTTTGGTAATGCTAAACGCTAATCATAAACTGTGAAACACAATCATTAATCTATTTGGTGATTTTTTTATTTCATTTTAGTTTTTTGTTATCTTTTTTTTGCAATATGTGGTTTGCATAATGTATCTGCTGTAATAACACAGTGTCTTTTTGTGATTAACTACGTTTCTTATTGTCAATGAAGGGCAGGTCAGGAAGTATAATAACTTTTGTGTATTTCTCTGCAGGGTGTTCCCGGAGAGGGTGGAGTTCCTGGTGCTGTTGGACCAAGAGTGAGTTTCCACGTTGTGATTTTTGGTGCCATTAATGTAAAACAGACTAAACCCGGATAACCGTATTTTTAATTGAGACATATTCTGATGGTTTCACACAGGAAAGCATTATGTTTGCCACCAAAATGGAACAATTTTTTGTTTCTGTCATTGAACATGGCTTGTTGTACTCTAACAGGGTGAACGTGGATTCCCTGGAGAAAGGGGTGGTGCTGGACCTCAAGGTCTTCAGGGACCCCGTGGCCTTCCTGGAACACCTGGAACTGATGGGCCTAAGGTAAGTGGGCAACTCTTTGCCAATCATCACCTTGACTCTTTCAGGCTTAGACAATGCAACAGTAGCTCCTATTGTGTAGCTTTACTTACTCGTGCAGCTTGAAAATATGTGCACACTTCTGTAGATTTGTGGATGTGAATTAATTCCCATTTGGTACTGAGCAGCAGGTGTTATCTTAAGCTAAGTTAAATGGCTCATATCTAATTAAGTATCTTATCCCCAAACTTACCCTTCACATGAATTGATGAGAAATAGTCAAATGAAGGTGGGGGAGAAAATTTCTGTTAACATTTGAACACAAACCAAGACCTATTCTAATTACTTTTTTAATGACAGGGAGCAATTGGACCAGCTGGTGCTCCTGGATCCCAGGGACCCCCAGGCCTGCAGGGCATGCCCGGAGAGAGAGGAGCTGGTGGTATCCCAGGACCCAAGGGAGACAGAGTGAGTAACAGACTACAGAAGTTACAGAATTCAGATTGTTTTGACTTAATGGATCACTTCATTAGTCAATGTGTCGGTTGCAGCTGTAGTGTCTAGACTAGCAGAAATGAATAGAGACATTTTTTGCTGAATGTATGCTGCCTTTTTGTATTGAAACTCAGCTTTCTGTTTTTTCCAACAGGGTGATAATGGACAGAAGGGACCTGAGGGGGCTTCTGGAAAGGACGGAGCTAGAGTAAGTTCCTTATTCTTTTTTTTTTATTGAGTATACCTTTACATCACTGTTCTGTCTAATGTGTTTCCTCATGTCTCGCTGTCCACTCTTTTCTCTCTCTAAGGGTTTGACTGGTCCTATTGGCCCACCTGGTCCATCTGGACCCAATGGGGCCAAGGTAAGAATAGCAGCATTACCTTTTATACTAGTAAATGGATAAAGCCACATCTAGTTTTCCTTGCAAATGACTTTGTATATTAGTCATTTAATGTTGTTTAAGTAACAGTTTCTGCTCTGTCCAGGGTGAGACTGGACCTACTGGACCCTCCGGTGCTCCTGGTGTTCGTGGTGCTCCTGTAAGTGTAAAAGCAGCATATTATTGGGCATACAAGGGTCATGATTGGCTGGACTGATTTGAGACATGGGGCTTTCAAGATTGGAGCTGCTATTTATCAATAAAGTATCCCATATTTCTGACATTTAAAAAAATAAATATTAGACATTATTTGATTTAGCATAATGTGAAAAATAAAATTTACCACATAAGATTTGTGCCTGGAAAAGTTTTTTTGTCCCAAACTAAAACATAGCTCAGAAATTTAACAAAAACAATAATTATCAACCCAGGCTCATACTGATCAACATACTCTTTTGCATTTTTGCAGGGTGACCGTGGTGAGATTGGTCCTCCTGGGCCTGCTGGCTTTGCTGGACCTCCTGTAAGTCACCATGATCTTTTCAGTTAATTTTGAATATCTAAAACTTTTCAGTAGACTTTGGGCTCATTTTAACTTACTGATATTTGCAGGGTGCAGATGGTCAGCCTGGTGCCAAGGGAGAGCTCGGTGAGACCGGACAAAAGGGAGAAGGTGGTGCTCCTGGACCTCAGGGACCATCTGGAGCTCCTGGACCTGTGGTGGGTATCTGACCTGCAAAAAAGTCCTGGAATCAGGAGGCACTTAACTTCTATCCATGTCAAAGCAACGATAGAATCACATTGCAGGGTGCAGCACATAAGTATGTTGAATGTTTTAGGGCCTATGGGGTGTGACGTAATAATGATTCATTTTGTTCCTCTTCCAGGGACCTACTGGTGTATCTGGACCAAAAGGAGCACGTGGTGCTCAGGGAGCTCCTGTGAGTAACTCCAACAGCTGTTATTAATCAACCTACCTAATTTACATTTCAGTCATTAAAAGTTGGGCTGACAGAAAATAAACTTCTACATTGTTAGGAAAGAAGTTTTCAGAAGTAAAAATTTCAGTAAGGTTTCAAAAGGAATGTTTACAGTGTCAGGCACACAAGTACTTAAATGCAGGATTCCCAAATTCAGACAGAAAATCAAAAGTTCCTTCAATACAGTCCAGGATCGAACTACAACGGAATAATCCAGGCTGAGGTATCCAAAACACAGAGGCAAAGAAAGTCCAAAATATAAGCTAGGTCAAGAAACACCAAAAGACAAAGTTGAAATAACTGCTGGTGGCACAAGGGACACATTTATTGCTTTGAACAGCCTTACTATTGCCATCATCGTGGTTTGAATAAAAGAAAGGAGTGTTGTCTGTTACTGTCAGGGTTTGCCAGTGGTGAGGAGAGGGGATAGATCCAAATGCAGGCCCAGGGAAAGACACAGGGGAACAAGGAACCCAGGGAAACCAAATGAATTCACGAAAAACAACAAGCAGAAACTGGAGACAAAAACATAACAATGCTTAATTCTAAAGTGAAAAAAGAACCAAGGAAACCCGAGGATGTGAAACACAGGGCAGGGGGGAGAGCAACACAGGTGAAGAGAGTTGAGGGATAACCACAAAAGGAGGGAACTGAGGGAAGTGAAGGGATTGAGAGACACAAGGGAAAGACACAGGAAACCAAGATACAAATAGAATAAATGAGGAAACTAAACACAAGAAATAAAACTTACAAAAACAAACCTCAAACATGACACACTGTTGCTGTTATATGGGAAACAGGGATTAAGAATTATAAGACCTCAAAAACAATATTTGAATGTTCACAAGTCACAAATCACCAACAATGGAGATTAACTGGAATGTTATAAATCCATCAAAACATGTAGAACTACTTGTTTCTGTTCCAGGTCATTTACAATAAATTCAAGTTGATTTAATAAGATCTGCTCCCTAAGATTTTGATACATTTGCAAATAATTGCTTTCTTTAGATACTTTTTCCCACTTCAGCTAAGCTTTTACTGACCAAATGAATCTGGAACAATAAGACTTTAACTCCCCATTTTGGATTAAACAAAACAGATGTGTCCAAACAGATTATCTGAAGCCATTATATAACAAACTCTGATGTGTAATGACCAGACATTTTGAATGAGCCTCAGACTTCAGTAACACGGCATATTGGGCACCGTTAAGCATTTAAAAAACTGAGCATGTATATGATGTTGCCAGTCATGCACAGATATGAAAGAGCTACTAACAAGATTTTAGACAAGAAGGAGCCATACTTAGTATAACCCAGATATGCAATTTCACAGAAGCGTCACAGTAAACAGAAAAAACGTTCCCACAAACATAGCCAATTCATTTACAGATATTTTAAAACAATAAAATGCATGAAATGGCTTTAAGATTTTATTAAGAAGTGACTTTAATAAGGTACTCTGAGAACAATTGTTAATAAAGATGGTTTCTCTGATAGTGTAAATTCTTTGCCTGAGTTGGCAGTGGGTCGTTTGATTGTTCAGATCTCTAATAGAGATCTGACACACTTTGACGCTCATCATCTTTCCATTATTCACTCTATGAAAAATCTTCTGGTCAACAGATGATTGAAAGTTGCCACTTTCAAAAAAGCGTTTACGAATGTTTTTGTAGAGAAAACATGAATCAAACTCACAAGTCAGGGCTTGAATAATTACATCCCTCAAACAAATTTCCAACACAAATGAAGACTGTAGAGATGCTAACACCTTTTTGTGGAGATTTGTTAAACTTGGCTTTCAAAGCTTAAATAAGATCATAGGTGCTCATATTAGAGGAGTCCAGCAGGTTATTTTTACTCAATACTCACACAGGGAGAACACAGGTTCAGAGCGGTGTCGACTTTTCTAATAAGCCTCAATAAAAGATGATAAAGTTGAACTAATTTAAGGCTAAAGCTTTCACAGAGTTGAACTGTCCTGCCATATTTAATCCTTCATCTGTGTTCCTCTTGCATTATCTGCTGATCTTCAATATTCACAACAAACACGCTGAACAAGAAAACACAGACAGCCTCAGAGCAGTCTAAAAATAGTTTCTTATTTGGGGTGATGAAGGTAAAACCGTGCAACCACAGTGGACCTGTATGTCAGTGAAGTGTCCCTGCTCTGCTCCTCTTTAAAACAAGGCTGCAGCTTTAAACAACACAAATGTGCCATCTAGTGGTTGGATTTAAAAGTATAACCAAGCAAAACTGAGAAATGACTCCTCACTGAGGTCAACAGGTGCGATGTCCCTTTACTGATTTTTCTCCTCCATTGACAGGGTGCTACAGGTTTCCCTGGTGCTGCAGGTAGAGTTGGGTCTCCTGGTCCTAATGTGAGTATCTAATCAATGATTGACCAGAAGTTCAAGTTAATTAGTCTTTTCTAAACGTATTCTTCTCTTACCCGTTACAATTCGGTCTTTCCATCCCAGGGAAACCCAGGCGCTTCAGGTCCTGCTGGTCCTGCCGGTAAAGACGGACCAAAGGGTGCTCGTGGTGATGCCGGTCCACCAGGAAGGCAGGGAGACACTGGGCTGCGTGGACCTGCTGGTGCTCAAGGAGAGAAGGGAGAGCCTGGAGAGGATGGACCCCCTGTGAGTTACATTTTTGACGAGCAGTAACGTATTACCGTTCACTGGGCTAGTGCTCTGACATGGTGGATACAGTTTTATCATACGATATCAAATAAAATATCTCTTTTGTTATTGTGGTGAACCTCAACATGTTCATTTCTTAACTAAGTCTCCCTTGTCCCACCTGTGCAGGGTGCCGATGGGCCTTCAGGTCCTCAGGGTCTGGGTGGATCTCGTGGTATTGTTGGTTTGCCGGGTCAGCGTGGTGAGAGAGGTTTCCCTGGTCTGCCTGGACCTTCTGTAAGTGCTTTTGAAAGCTGTCTGATAGCATTTTGCTCTTTTTAAGCCTTAATGTGAGCTGTTTGATCATTTCACACACACCCATTTTAAAAATTGAGAACCTCTTGAGAATGTTGGTGATGCCCTCATGCTACTGTATGTTTGTCTCAGATCTGTATTATATGCACTTGAATGTTGTGTACAACACATATCTATAGTTATTGCTCAACTAGATTACTGAAAATCAGAGAATTATTTATGATATTTATTCATTTTTCCCTTTTAAGTCCAAGGAGCTGCTGCAAATGACTGACAGTATTCCATTTGTGTATAGGGAGAGCCTGGTAAACAGGGAGCATCAGGTGGTGCTGGTGACCGTGGACCCCCTGGACCTGTTGGGCCACCTGGACTTACTGGACCTGCTGGAGAGCCAGGCAGAGAGGTCAGAGCTTAACAACAGCCAAATATTAACATTCATCAAATTTGGAATAACACTGACATCGAGAATTACGTTACATATGGAAATGTTGTCTTTATCTTTAGGGGACCCCTGGATCAGACGGACCCCCAGGTAGGGATGGATCTACTGGAGTCAAGGTGAGAGACTTCAGCAGAACATTAAGCCTTTACACCAGCTAAATAACCCATTGTGAACATAAATCTCTTAGCAATACAAATGTATGAGTAACTGATGTTTTACTGTAGGGAGAGCGAGGCAACACTGGACCCGCAGGTGCCCCCGGAGCTCCTGGTGCCCCAGGTGCCCCTGGACCTGTTGGACCTCTTGGCAAGCAGGGAGACAGAGGAGAGGCTGTAAGTAGCACAACATGTTATAAAACTGTATTTCATAGTGTGGATATGACCAAAAGGAAGCACCTCCAATCTGAATCTCTCTCTCCAGGGTGCTCAAGGACCTGGGGGACCCCCAGGACCAGGTGGTGCAAGAGGAATGGCGGTAAGTTTCACATTCATCCAGTTTTCTTTTATCTGACTTTTTCTGGATACGTTTAAACAGGTATGTTTCAATGTATTTCAAAACATACCAAACCTATATTCCAGGGACCCCAAGGACCACGTGGAGATAAGGGAGAGGCTGGTGAGACAGGAGAGAGAGGACAGAAGGGTCACCGTGGCTTCACTGGTCTGCAGGGTCTTCCTGGATCCCCAGTAAGTGAAAATAGTTGATCCAAGCAGTGAAATTTCCATCTATAATCTTTGTCCTCTAAGATTTTATGTGATGTGCTTGTCCTGACAGGGTCCTGCTGGAGACTCTGGAAGTGCAGGGCCCGCAGGGCCAAGCGGTGCTAAGGTGAGGAAACAGAGCAAAAGTAAAAAAAAACTCTTAATTCTGGTTTCATTAATTCTACCCTGCTGTGTTTAACTTCAAAGATATTTGATGTTAATGAAGTGCATAGGTTATTCTTTTGGTAATTCTCCAATGACCTGATGGAGATGGAGACAGGAAAGGCCGTCTGTTTTAATTACCCGCCGCTGTGATAAGATTGGCAGGCGAGGCATTTTGTAATTACTGTCTGCAGACAGACAGGAGAGGCCATGGTTTGTGAAACCACCCCTGCTGAGATCAGAAATGGGCTTCAATATGTATTCTAGATTAGCTAAGCGGTGTGGATGATAAGGGAAAAAATTAAGGAAAATGTCACCACTCAAATCATTTTCATTTGGTGCTCCCAAGACAAAGGATCTGAAGTTCACAGAATGAAACTGCATTTAAGCTGCTCTATGAGATCGGTCTGTCCCTCAAGACCCAAATGTTTCATAGATTCACACTTAGAACAAAATGTGCTAAATAAGTAAATAGAGCGTTTTGAACTGGTTACTTGACTAACGCTTGTTTCTGTAGGGACCACCTGGACCAGTCGGACCTGCTGGCAAAGATGGAAATAATGGACAGCCGGGTCCCATTGGACCCCCTGGACCTCGTGGACGCTCTGGAGAATCTGGCCCTGCTGTATGTAGAAATAACACCTAACATGCACCCCTGTGCACCATCCTCTTTCAGCGGGTTCTCATTATCTGCCTTTACTCTCCTCAGGGTCCTCCTGGTAACCCTGGACCTCCTGGTCCTCCTGGCCCGCCAGGCCCGGGCATTGACATGTCAGCCTTTGCCGGCATGGGTCAGATTGAGAAGTCTCCCGATCCTCTCAGATACATGAGGGCTGATGAGGCCTCCAGCTCCCTGAGGCAGCACGACGTTGAGGTCGATTCCACTCTCAAGTCTCTCAACAGCCAGATTGAGAACCTGCGCAGCCCTGATGGCTCCCAGAAGAACCCTGCTCGCTCCTGCAGAGACCTCAAACTGTGCCACCCTGAGTGGAAGAGCGGTAAGACGTGGGAAAACACAGACAACACCACCAGCACCTAGAAAACAAAACTCAATAAAAGATTAGTCCTCCAAATTAAGAACTTGTCTCACAAATAGACAAACCCAAGAACAACAAGCAGACATAGATATAAGGTCTTTAGACCAGGACAGACATACTGTCACTGCTGTTGAGCAGATGGGCTTTTACTTATCTTTCACAAGAGTAGACTGAGCTGAAATACAAATTAATACTGAGTGTGAAAAGCATGCTAACTCTTCAAAATTCTGAATTGTTCAGTAGGTCAAGCTCTGAGCTTTGCTGGTTATTAAACCATCTCTCATCTCTCTAGGTGACTATTGGGTTGACCCTAACATTGGCAGCATTGCTGACGCCATCAAGGTTTACTGTAACATGGAGACTGGAGAGACTTGTGTCTACCCGAGCATCGCCAAAGTACCGAAGAAGAACTGGTGGACCAGCAGGAGCAATGACCGCAAGCATGTCTGGTTTGGAGAGACCATGAATGGAGGATTCCACGTAAGCACACATGCATGTACTTTGTCAGTATTTCCCCATGCTGATCATGAAAAGGCTAAAACTAACGTGACAACTGCCATGCTTTTCCGGCTCCACAGTTCAGCTATGCTCAGGATGGCCCTGCTGCCAATGCCGCCAGCGTCCAGCTGACCTTCTTGAGGCTTCTGTCCACTGAAGCATCCCAGAGCCTCACTTATCACTGCAAAAACAGCATTGCCTACATGGACCAGGCCACAGGAAACCTGAAGAAAGCTTTGCTGCTGCAGGGCTCCAATGATGTGGAGATCCGCGCTGAGGGCAACAGTCGCTTTACTTACAACGTGTTGGAGGATGGCTGCAAGGTGGGTGCAAAACATGATCAGAAAGGGTCATTTCAGACATTTAAAAATTGGGCTTCAGTGACAGACTTTTCTGCTCTCCCCCAACAGAGACACACAGGCCAGTGGGGCAAGACTGTCATCGAGTACAAAACACAGAAAACCTCCCGTCTGCCAATCGTGGACATTGCTCCTATGGACATCGGAGGAGCGGATCAGGAGTTCGGAGTGGATGTAGGCCCAGTCTGCTTCTTGTAAAGTGGAATATCACAATGGCCCCCCCCAAAAAAAACACAGGAAATGAACAAACTCAACCATGAAACATTACACACACTTCCACAATGATGAAGACTGGAAATCACCAAAAAAAAGAAAAAAGAAAATTGATACTTTTTCTCTCAAAACGAAGTGCTCTCCAAGTAGTACTACCTGGATGTTAGCACTGAAGGGCACCGGCAATATCCGTACACCACACCAGCATTCTCTGTCAACCTGCTTCCTGAGATCCAGTCATGTTTCCCATGGCCCACTGTTGACGGGAATGAGTCCGAGCCAGGAGGAAGAGGGACCAAGCAAACCAAGTTATGGAGAACAGAAACATGACTTGATGTCACTTATTTATTGTCTAACCTGAGTGGGAAGAGTTGAGGTAGGACTGGACAGGTTTACTTTTGTAAGTAACAGAAGCCCCCATTCCACTACAGAACAGCCGCACAACCTGTCCCAGTCCTGCGCCACCTCCCTCCCCATTTCCCTCCCTGACATAAATACGGCATTTTGAATTAGTGTAGACCAAAAATTGAAAAAACAAAACATCAGTAAGTAAAAATTATACAGGTGCTCCGGGCCTGTCCATCATGAGCAGGAGCTAAAGCTTTACTGTGTATTATAAATCCTTGGTTCTATTGTTGTAAAAGTCTGTGTTTATAAACAACCAGATGGTTTTATATATATTTCCACATTATGTGTGTACATGTGTCTATATGCACACCAACACTTTTTTGGAAAGTGAGGTAACATTTGGGATGTATGTTTTCATGTCCTTAACTGCCCATCAGAACACGGTCCAGCTCTCATCCGAAAAAGATTAGCTCTGAAAAATTTAGGGAAAAATTCATTTTGCGTTTTTCTTGTAGTCATCCAGATTGTTTAAAGCTACCTCACGGTGAAAAACAAAGTGAAAAAGTTGAGTCGAAATCTGAGCTGACCAAAACATTAGCTTTCAGAAGGATCTGGAGCTGAACGGCCAACTCTGTTTTGGGTTGCTCTTTCCTCAGAAGGTGCTACGAGTCCCCGACCCTCTTGCCTACCATCCTTGATTCCCACTAGCCTCACACCACACACTCACACTCCACCCTGGAGGGGGGGGGGGGTGCAGCAGGGTGGGGACAGAGAAGACAGGGGGGCTCATTAGAAGCCCCCTCTTGACCCCCATATCCCAACATGGGACTCCGAGGACAGTCGCTCAGAGACGCCCAGGGTGGGTTGTGTCTGTGTGTGTGAGGGCATGTACATTGTTTTAATTAATTTTATTATGATTTTTTTTTTCTATTCGTTTGTTTTTATTTTTGTCACACCTCTAATTGATGTAAATTGGAAATAAAAGGAAAGCCTAATTCAGAATGAAGCTGATTTTTAATTGAGTTTCGAATAAAATCAGAAACGGTGTGGGGACGTATTTCTTCTTTCAACCGAACCATTCATGTGTGCTTAAATGTTTTTTCTTTTTTTTTTTAAACTTGTATTTCTTGAGGTCAGATACTCTAGACTGTGTGAGTGTGAGAGCATGTGTGTGAAAGTTTAAGACTGTGAGGCAAGTGTGTTTTCTTATAAAACAATCTCATACCATAAGGAACAAACGTACTGTATTCATTGTGAGGATTCAGGGTGGGGCTGGGTGGAGTTGGCTCCTGTTTGTCTGAGCTAATGGACATAAATAAAGAACATACTGTTGACTGAAATCAAGCATTTTGTAGAGTCATGGTGCACAGAGGAGCTGCATCACTACCTGTCTTTAGTGTGGACTGCTCTCTCTCTAGTCTGTCGCCACTAATAGATCCTGACTTTAGCTTTCAGAGAAATATTCTTATTGGATATGCATCCATTTACAGACAAAACTAAACTCCTGTAAGAAAAAGTTACAAAGACAAAACAAAAAAAACTCAAAGTCTTGGGAAAACAAAAAGATACATCATTACACCTCCCACCTCATTCCCACCTCCTCCAAAAACAGGCATTAAAAGATGCAATCAGGAAGTGCCATGTTGCTATGGATACAGTGACTTCTACAAAGCAGAGCTTTAAGTTGTCTGCTCACAATTGCACTGGATGGTTTGGTAGTATTGTGACTAGTGTAGGCACTGGGTTTTGAAAATGAAAGTTCAAAAAGATAAAAAGAACTACATTTAATATTAATGGCATCTATTGATTGAGAATACCATACAAAAGTGAAAAACACTTTGCCCAGTGCACTTGGCTCCCTGCCACAACTTAATGTAACTGATTTAACCAATCCTCCTCCCTCCATTAGTCTTTGAGGGCAAATGGGTGCCATATGTAATCAAATTTGTTTCCCTTACAGTAATCGATTGCACGGCGTATGTAATGTCATAAGACAATAGGGAAAAAGGCCATGCATCAATATTTTAAAGTTTTGCCTTTAAAAATGCACTGAGTCTATTACATGCCTGACCATCAGCTGTTTGAACTGACTCAACAGCTCTGCTCAGATTCCATGAGTCCGGGTAAGTTATGAATCCTGCACATAACTGGGGATTTATATTGATAATCTAATTCTTGTCCTGAAATTAAGAGGATTTATCCGCCTTTCATAATTCTTTCAAATCATCAATTTGTGTTTGATGGGTATTATACCAGTCTCTGGGGACCGGGAGCATTTCTGTGTTGAGTTTGCATGTTCTCCCTGTGACTGCGTGGGATCCCTCCGGATGTTCTGGCTTCCCCCCGCCATCCAAAAACATGCATGTTAGGTAAACTGAACACTCTAAACTAAAAGTGGAAACTTTACTCTACAAACACAAAGACTCCATCTGCTCTTACTTTGCACATGAGGAAAAAAATGAAGGAAGTAAACTCAGCAAGGCGTCACCTTTCTACACCAATTTTATTCATCTGATTGCAGAATTTCCTGGTCTGTCAAGAGATGAGCTCTGTGAAGAGCGACTGGTTGGGAAAGTCAGCCGGCCTTTCCTGCGGGTGGGGCATGGACGGACTCCCGCTGAGGCCGATGTGGGGAGTAGCCGCGCTCAGGAAGTAGAAAGGCACATGAGTTATTCTTCCACTGGACCAACACTGAGAACAGAGACAGAAACATCAGTCTGTAGGTGACACAAAGAGAAGTTATTCCATATTTACGTTGTGGAAAATAACATTGACATTTAACGTTGAAGCTGTTTGAATGCGAGCAGTGGCTTATGCCATTGTGTTATGACCTCAAACGCATTAAGGGAATGTGCTGTGTGAGACTGACCACAGTGAGCAGAGCCCCATGTCGGAAATTCGGGTGGAACTGCATGAGTCTGGGCTCCACGCCTGGTTCCCCCTGAACAAAACCACTGAACAAGAAGGAATACTCAGCACAAGCAGATTGGATTTACGTCAAGAATTCCTGTTAAACTAAAAAAACAAAAACAAACAAAAAAAAGGAATGAAATCCATTCCATTACAAACCATGGTAGGAGCTCAAAGATGGGGTTGGCTCTGGTCTTGAACACAGCGATGATCGCCGGGCGGCTCGACGTTTGTGGATCGCCTGAGAGAATGGATGAGACTGAAATGAGCCATTAAAGTCTAAACGCTGATGAGCTTCATGAAAGCCAGCAGAGGACACGGGGGACCTTTGAGAAGCACCGCGAGTCTCTCTCCTCTCGGATCCCAGGCCAGCGACTGAATCTTTCCGCCAACTCTGGTCCACAGGAAGCAGAGGATGAAATAAAAGAGATACATTTAGACCAGGTAACTGAATAAAAAGTGATACCACACAATAAAGGTATTACATTATAATATATATTTATTTAAGCGCTCTTACATGATCTCTCCATCTGGTGTGTTGAAGGTGGTCTCTGATAGGTCGGCCACCACAGCGGCCGTCTGTGGGCCTGACAGAGAGCCAGTGGGTACTCCTGCCGAGTATAGTCATGTCACACGGTTATTTTTCCTTTCAGTTAGTTAACGACAAAGTCACTGCAGCTACAGCATTGTGATAACTTGTAATGGGTCGAAAGTGGTTCAAAATGCTGTACGCCAAGGTTTATTTCCAAGTTTTACTCGCCTGGTGTGCCAGGAAAGGTCAGGGCGTAAATGACCGTCTCCCCCTGGACAGTGAAGAGAAGGCGACTCCCATCTGGACTCCAGCAGCCAGACTGACCCACAGAGCAGGAGACACGGTTTAGAGAATATCTTATGGCTTAACAAAGGGACAGCCTCTAACACCGTCACGGGTTTTCACCTGGCAGCGCCCTTTCAGACACGGCCAACGCTCACAGGTCCACATCCTGGTCTCCCACACCCTGAAGAAAGCCATATTAGATTAACGACTATGTGTCAAAGATTTTCTAAAGCACCGACTATCTCAAAACGACACTTTCAAAAAATGCCCCGAGTTCAGAAGTTTAGCTCATGTTGTATCTTTTTTCCTAAACCTGAAGAGGGCGGACGGAGTGGAGGCCAGGACGTGGCTGCCGTCCGGGGACCAGGACAGGAAAGTGACGCCTCCACCCCCAACACGCTGGAGGGGGACGCAGCTCTCCGCCGCAACGTCCCAAACCTGAAAGACGCATTGGTCTTAAGCAGGTGGAGAGAAAAAGATAAAGAAAAGCAGCCTTTTTTAAACGTGAAGCAGCTCCTACGGACCATCATGGCGGTGTCCACAGGCGAGGCGGAGACCAGGAGAGACCCGCTGGGAGACCAGGCGATGGAGGTGACGGGGGAGTGGCCGGGATAGGACAAGACCTGAGCGCAGCCGGACGAAGGCCTGGAGGGGCGGAGCAGAGCAGCAGACGGGGGGGGTGAGGTTTGGCTAAAGAGGAGCCGACAGCTTTAGTGCTGCTGAAACTCAGATCAGGCAGAGGTAATGATCCTTTAATACTCTTTTTAATACCGTGAGAATACTAGTTTACATCCTTTTTTAGCTGTAGAGAGGGGGAGATATGCAAACTGTGTGAATTTGTTCCAGTCCAACAAAGAAAAATGTGATGGCCTAAATAGTAAAAACAGAAAAGATAAAAATACTAATCAAAATATTTATATATTAGAAAAACCATTCAGCAAATATATATTCTCCATGACTGAATGGTCCCTGGATTTATTTTTCTTTTAACTCAGAGGAATTTAACATTTGTTTAATTACTGATTACAAACCTGAAGGAAACAAGGAGGCTTTTGTGGAAACACTGCATCAACAAATTTGCTCTGTTGTGTAGATGACAGAATAACACTGCTACTGAATAAGAAAGAACTCCTGTTCAGAATAAGTAAATGTGAGATGGGTGGAGAGCAGCTTTAACTACTTTTGTTCAGCCTCATGTAAAATAAATAGGCTCCATTAGATTGCAGTCTGCATCCAGAATGAATAAGCAATGAGGAGTTCCAGGATTTAGACAGCCCCTTCAGAGAGGGGACTAAAGCTGCTCTGGCATATGGAACCAACTTCTCCCGTCACATCACATCATCTGAATCAGAACTAATTTGGTAAATAAGAAAAACATAATTGTGTTGGAAGGTAAACTGAAGGGGGTTTTTTTTCTGAAGGAGGAGAAGAGCAGGAGCGGCTGTGTGAATAGTTTAAGCAGGACAAATAAGAGACTTGTGGTAGATTTGATCGTTGTATGTGGGAATTTTTTAAAAGGTAATTTTAGGCAATTTTATGACAGCCTCAACACTTCCAATCAGACTGCTAAAAACAGGAGACTAAAATGAAATCTGGGATCACAAATAATAAATTCCATGTAACTCTCTGTGTTTGAAGATTGTTTGAATCAACTCAGCAAAGCACCCACTAAATGTGAAAAACGTCACACATATATCTTCACATTTCTGGCTAATGATGAAATGAGTTTGTGAGCGTTTGTCAGCGTCTGCTTCCTTCTCTGTGACTTTTAATGGATGTATCTTCTGAGCGCTGAAGGTGCTGACCACCTGACGGACCCTGTTGTGACGCACCTGGTTGAGAGCGAGCAGGGGTCAACGTGCCAGACCAGCAGGCAGTTCTGACAGGCCACGGCCAGGGCCGAGGCGCACAGCGGCTTCCAGCGCACCGCCGCCACGCTCCTCTGCAGACGGTGCTTCAGCGTGGGAGTTGTGGCGCTGAGGGGGGACGAGAGGGGACGGGTCAGTCACAAAGCCGGCACAGACGCCCCCGAGAGCTCCCAGAACAAGGCCGCTCTGTCCGGCTGCGTGCGCTCAGCTCTCTGCCCGTCGTCTGCGGTGGAGGAGCTTCAAACCACAAGTCATTGTTGCATCATGTACTCGCACAGAGTGCGACTGTTTTGCACGCCGAGTGAAAGCACCGACTGTGGCGCTGCGCTGTACATCCTCGACAATTACTTGGCAATTACTGACCAGAACGCATCTGTTTTTAAAGCCGCGTGATTTAGATTTAGATTTAAAAAAAGCTTTAATGTGTAACTGAAACCCAGCTGATAACACAAGAACCTGTAAAAGTGGCCCTTTAGTTTGAGAAGTAAACGTTTACCATGTACTTTGTTTTTGTAACAGTACCTTTTGGGGTTGTAGATCTTGATAGAGTCATCTAACAAAGCGACTGCAAACTTATCAGTGTGCGGGTGCCAGGCGAAGGCTCGCACCACACAGTCAGACCTGCAAACACAGCAGTAATGATCTCTCTTTATCTAAAGACTGCCAAAGAAACCTCATTACACTAAATAAAGCAGAGTTGTTTTTTACTTCATCTGGTTGATGAGAAAGTGATTTATTGTTTTGTCACGTAAAGCATCTCTAAATCAAACTACTGTTCTGATGTTTCCTAAGGAGTATATTTAAAAGCAACAACCCACACATGGCCGTGTGTCCACTTACCAATTCAGCACCTGTGAAAACTCAGCGATCATGTCCTCGCTGCTCAGCTGTGCGAAACAAACAGGTAACGCACACTTTAGCTCAGCACAACAAACACTTTTAGCCATCAGATCAGTCAACCTTTTCACTGGACACAGAAAAACCTACGGTGAGATGAGGGAACAGCGAGCCGTGGAAGGAGGAGACCCATCGCAGCAGCGCCAGGACGCATCCAGAGCTCACCGACAGCCACTTGGGCACTGGAAGAGTCACAGAGAGGTCGGTGGGTCTGCACCTCGCTTAGCGCTTGCAAGTTCAAATAAAGCCACACGTTTCACGTACCCTCTGCATGTGAGGTGGTAATTTCATTTAGCAGCCCTGTGAGCCCACCGTCACGCCTGGAGGACACAGAAAAGGGGCTTGATTACTCATTAGGTAGACTTAAACTGTGTTATAATCTCTGAGAACACAGCAGAAAAACTGAAACAAGCTGGTAGCTTTGTGTAAAACGACAAAAGGCACAAGTAACTTTAAAGTTTCATATTGATCTTAACAGGATAGTTAGGAACACAGAGAAAAACCAAACACTGAAAATGAATCCATAGTTGAATTTAGTTCAATGTAAAAATATTAAACACTGTTTTGTTTTTATATGGGTGGATGAACACCAGAAAACCTGACAACATAAAGGGAAGATTTCTTAAGCCAGGTGCAATATGAAACCATCAGCAAAAACTGATCATTCAGAAACATTCCGAACAACTTCATGGATGTTCAGTTTAAAGTTTAACTTGATCTCATGAAAAATGCATCTGATGTAAACTAGTGTTTACAGATCACTTGCACAGAGTGCAAGCTCCAAGAACTCAGTGGCAGTTGTGTTTTAGTGTTCATCTTTGAGAAGTTAACCGCATGCTCATCTGGACGAGCGCAGAGTGAAGTATTGTTCATCTTTCCCTCGGGACAACAACTCATCTCTGAGCATCTTTGCTTGAAACACAACAAAGCTCTCTGTGTTATACAAATCCGAGCTACTGATAACATGGTGTGTCGGCTCTCATCATTGTGTGTGTGTGTCCTACCACGCAGCTGCACTCCTCATCCACAGAGTTTCAGAGTGGTCCAGGAAAGCTGCTTTACTGCTGCTTTCAGTGCGACTGTGGAGCTTCAGGGACTCTCGTGGGAAGTGTAGACTCAGAGGACTGGAGTCCTGCACGAAGCACACCACAAAGCACAAGCAGACTTTAACCAGACGAATGTTGGGGCCGTGAGCTGCCAGTCCGGGTTAAATGTGGGGGAAGACCACCACGACACCACAGAAGCAACAGCTGGGCCCAGTGGAGACTATCACCCGTGCTTCCTGGGCTCGCGTGACTGAATTTTGAACACACTGGCTGGAAAAAAGCTCAACGACTGTGACGCAGACCTGTTTGAGGCGCTCCTCACTGTTGGTCCCGGACAGCAGCTCGTTGTTGGACTCACACAGAGTGGTCTGTCCCGAGGGAAGAGGAGGGGGAAACAACGCCAGGGAGCACATCTTCACACGGACAAAACCCGCGCCCTCAACCTGGAGACGCTATGGACCCACCAGGTAAACGATAAACACACTCGAACAGAGCAGACACGTTATGAAGCCGCTTAGCTAGCTAACTGTTAAAGGTGGTTAATAACTCCGCTTAGGCCAACTTCTGTGGCCTAACTATTTAGCTTTCGTGAGAGTGAAACAGCCTCTCACACGCCGTGGAGATGGCCTCCTTTACGCAGGGGTCAATTATCATCTGTTGGCTCTCTAAAAGTAAAAGCACACAGGCTACGGTGTTGTGTTGACACAGTTCCGTTCATTTAGTCAGTCCCGCCGTGTGTCCTACGGCAAGACGGAAGGACAAAAACAGCGGAGAAGTTCTACAAGACACAAACCTGAACGTGCTGCCCCCTTCCGGTCACAGTGCGACATTAGCGGCAGACAGAGGACAAACTGCTGGCCAAAAATACAGCCGAAAAAATAGAGCTGATTATGCTTTTCTGATTGCTTTACTGTTTGGCACAGAAACATTAGATAAATCCAAGCATTGAAATAGTTGGAAAAAATCTGCCTTTTAAAGGAAATTTTCACTTTCACCCTGTCCTAATCTGCATGAGGTGATTTGGGAGAGGTAGAATCCCCTTTGCAAGAGGGAACCTCCAGCACCATCTGTTTTCAGCAGAACTGGACAAAGGGGGCAGAAAAGAGGGGTCAACCAGTGCTGTAACACCTGGTAAGGAAATCCTGCTGAGAAGCACAAAAAAGATGAATAAGAATAAAGAAAGTAAGGGATGCCCAGGCTCATCTGAACTATCAATGTGATGCAAATCTATTAAAGAGGGGGTTTACTTTCTGAGGGCATAGGTGCTCATGACTTTATAACCATTATGCTGATGTCCTGAATGTTTGTTTATTTGCCAGAATATTTCAAGTGTTTGGAGAAAAGCTTTTGTCCTTGAGTGTGTGTGTACCTTTTCTTTCTTTTTTTGCTTGTTACATGTTGGAAGGCTGCTTGTTTGTACACGCTGACGTTTGTCAAGACGGATACAGTCTAAAAATATTAATCATGCTGCTTTAAGAGGATGGTGATGTGGGCCTTCACCTTCTCTTGGGAGAGCAAAAGTTGTGGTCATGGGTGGTGGAGACTCGGTGTGTTTTGCTCAATGAAACATCACTACTAACATCCTGGTGCCCACTCTGCTCACCCGGGACCATCGAACACGCGGCTGTGTTGGCACATTTCTGAAAATGATGGATGTGTCGGTGGGACACGAGTCCTGGGTGCGCGCGCCTGCAGAAGAGGCGGCGGCAGCGCCCCCCAGCGGCCGCGCGCGCCTTTCCGTGACGTCAATTCAGCACTGGGGAGGAGAAAGCAGCTCCCTCCCCCCCCCCCAAAAAAAAAAAACCCAGCGCGCCTCACGTTGCATGGGTCCCCGGTTATTGATAACACATTTTACCCGATGGGATCCATCCCGGCGACGTGAAACTCGCGGACTCGGGCGCTGGAAAGGCGAGAGGCGCGTCGGAGCGGAGAAAAACCAACCATCAGCTCGTTAACGCGGACAAACAGAACGCCGAGCCCACCCCTTCCACTTGACAACGCGACATCAACCGGGCAGAAAAGGTATGGGAATGTCATGCTATCCGGTTAAATGCCGATTGAATAAGAGATGGGGCAGCGCGGGACGGGGAGGCAGGACGCCGTGGCGCGGCGGCTTCACGCCGCTCACACTGCACCACAGAGCTGACGCTGCCAGCAAGCCAATCATCGTCGATGAACGCTACAAAATCATATTTGTGCAGCTCACGTTACGAAATATCTGTGTTGATGCCAGTGCCGAGTACACGTAGAGGCGCTGCGGCAGTGCCTCTTGGCATGGACCGTAGCAGGCAGTTCATGCACGTCGGCTATGATGCTGCTGAGTGTCATCATCATATCCTTGGTTATTTAAAGATTGATCTTCCCGAGTGTGTGTGTGTGTGTGTGTTCTCCTCCTTCGCATAGGCCCGGTGGATGTTTATTGCCCAGTTTTCCACGCTCTCATTTCGCTTCTTGTGCAGTGGTGCAGTACATGACTCTGAGCTGGCGGACGATGTGTGAATTGGGTACATGTGCTCTTTCCCTCTCACACACGCATGCATGCGCACGCGGACGTACGCACACACGCACGCACGCACGCACGCACGCACGCCGAGGTGGTTATGCAATTCGTCATATTCTCTATCACACACAAAGCTCTCCACTTGGTGCATGACGGTCCGCGTAAGGAAGCCGCTCGGTGCTGAGGAACCGTTAAGGAAGGAGCAGGGGACACGTCGGTTCCGTGGACTGTGCAACCTCCCCCGTTAGATTCATTCATAAAGCTCATTCCCACTGTTGGTGATGGCTCCACTGGGCCGTCTGGTTTTCCCATTCACAGACACAGAGACGAGGCTTTACTCCCTGATTCAGACAGAATTTGGTTGTGGAAATTAAATCAACTGGCTCAACGCCCAACTAATATCACGACTGTGATTGTTATGGTGGTTTATATTGCTTCAATTGAAGAGAGTATGAGTATGAGTATGAGTATTAGTATGAACTTTAGAAGTAACTTGCCATAAAATGTACTGTTGGTTCCAGCACCGGACAGCTCCCCCATGCAGCTGATGGTCATATTTGTGGAGCTGTCCAGTGCTGAATGCAGCTCACGTCAGAATGTGGGAAAGTATCATCACACGCCTCATACAGATCGTTCTAATTTGCTGTGTGATGAATCTTCTCCTCCAGGCTTTCTTCTCATCTGTCCACCCTCCATCCACCCTGACCTGCCGTGTTGGGGAAACCCCTGATGAGTGGGACCTGTATCCATGAGCCCCGTGCCCCTTCCCCCTCCCTGTCAGGTTTTAGTACTCCCATCTCAGAACCTCCCTATCGAAGACTCGATGGAGACACCCCTGCCTGCACCCCAGAAACGGACCTGACCCCAACACAGTGTGTCCTGCGAAACGTACTGTCCATTGACACTGGCGGACAGGGGGCGCCGGGCGGCAGCAGCCCCACTCCCAGCGATGGACCGTCGGGCCACTTTGACAACAGCGTGCTGAAGCTACATGAACATGAGGTCTGCCAGTTCGGCGCTGGCGCCGAGGCGGGACACAGTCCGGAGGCTGGCGCCGTTCGCAGCCAATCAGAGAACATTCGACTGCAATCGGGAAGTGGAGGTTTTTTGGAGGGACTGTTTGGCTGCCTAAAGCCGGTCTGGACCATGATTGGAAAGGCCTACTCCACTGAACATAAACACAACCCAGAAGGTATGTTCCACCTCTGAGCTATCAGCCAGTGTGCCATGTCAGTCAAATCATTGTGACACCTTCATAAGTAGATGACCACAACAAACACATTTCTGAAGCTAGATCTAGTCGAAAAAGTTTATGCTGCTTTTTAATAACAAAAGCAATTAGTCAGCTCCAAGTATCTGCTTTTTAGTGAAATATTGGATCATTTGAGCGAGATATCAAAAAGTCATGTTAATAAATCGTGTTCAGAACTCAAATCACTGCCAAAAAGGCTGGTAATTGCTGTCTTAACCTTCAGCAAAGCATTAGTACATTTCTTGAAAAGCCTTAATCTAAAAAAATAACTATGGCTGTCCCATTTAGATGCGGACAAAAAATAGATTGAAGGACTAAGCCCTGAAATGTAGTTGAAATGCAAAGTGGCACAAAATGAACAAGCGCTTTGTACTCAGTGACACAACTTGAATGAATCTCCTTTTGTCCGTTTAAAAATCTCAAACTCCATCATTTCCATCCCTCACTTACTGATCCTGTGTCCAGCTGGCAGCCTGTCTGTGTCTTTTCGGCTTGGCTCGCGCCAACAGTTACGTCGAGTTTTTACAGGTGGTTTGGGGTGCGGGGGATTGCCTTCACTGCTGCAGCTCTCAAGAGACATCGACCCTTCAGTGGACCTCGTGAAGAATTGATCTACTTGTCTCTTTTATTCTGCAATGCTCGTCCATCTTTAGTAGCCGTGCCTTCACAGTCATTTAAGCAATGCAAGTGTGACAGATGACAGGCAGATTAGACCAAGAGTGGAGTGGATTCTTGTTTTTTTTTTCTCCCAGTTTTCGACTTATCTCTGTAAATAATGCTTGAAATATACCATTTGCTTGGTCATGGCAGGTGCTTTGTGCGATGCAGAAGACATCCCAATTACTCACTGACCTGATATTTAAACAGCCAGACGTTGAGATGCAGTCCAATGTGTGATAAAAAGGAAATTAAGTAATTGCTCTTAAAAAGCAACTGAGCAGACATTTCTTGCTTTCCACTTAATCATCGATGTTTGATTTGTTGGTCTGAGTTTAGAGTCCTGGGAGGTTCCTTTTGAGGAAATTTCGGACCTGCAGTGGGTGGGCAGCGGGGCGCAGGGAGCCGTCTTCCTCGGGAAGTTCCACGGCGAGGAGGTGGCTGTAAAGAAAGTGCGGGACATCAAAGAGACCGAGATCAAACACCTCCGTAAACTCAAGCACCCCAACATCATCACTTTCAAGTGAGGAGCTTCCCGCTAATATTTTACCACCTCAAACTTTCAGTCAGTGATTGTTCCCCCCCGCCCCCTGACCTCCGGCGTCTGGTCGTCTGTCTGCTTCCTCTCCTCCAGGGGTGTGTGCACCCAGGCTCCCTGTTACTGCATCCTGATGGAATACTGTGCCCAAGGCCAGCTGTACGAGGTGCTGAGGGCGGGCCGTAATATCACTCCCTCCCTCCTGGTCGACTGGGCCATGGGCATCGCAGGCGGCATGAACTACCTACACCTCCACAAAATCATCCACCGAGACCTCAAGTCCCCCAAGTAAGACTCAGTCCGATGGCAGCTTCTTTTTTAAATATCGCCTCCGGCTCTTTCTTGTGTACTATGCGTGTCATCTCACCTTTCCCAGCATGCTGATCACACATGACGACCTGGTTAAAATCTCTGACTTTGGCACCTCCAAGGAGCTCAGTGACAAGAGCACCAAGATGTCGTTTGCAGGCACTGTAGCCTGGATGGCTCCCGAAGTCATCCGGAATGAACCAGTGTCGGAAAAAGTGGATATCTGGTAAGCCCGATGCTCATTCATGTGTTTCTGATTCTGATTCTGTGGCCGTTCCGTAGTTATTCCATCTGCAATGCAACGAGAAGATAGAAAGTGTAATTTCTTCTCCTTTTGCTGTTGGTGAGAGTAGTTTGGACCTGTTGAAAGGATCTGAACAAACAAAGCTTTGCTTGTTTTAAAGGTCCTTTGGAGTGGTGCTGTGGGAGATGCTCACCGGGGAGATTCCCTACAAAGATGTAGACTCCTCTGCCATCATCTGGGGCGTGGGCAACAACAGTCTGCAGCTGCCCATACCTGAGAGCTGCCCGGATGGCTTCAAGATCCTCCTCAGGCAGTGCTGGTGAGCGCCTGGAAATGGACAGTTGGAATGATAATATCAGAGCAGATGAAAGAATTAGAGCTGATGGCTGAGTGAAGTTACACCAGGAGGTGTTAGTCTGTGGTTTTAAGGCTTTATTGATTCTACAGTACATGGTAAATGTACACAGCTGTGTTTCCCATCTTGGCTTTACAGGAACTGTAAGCCCAGAAACAGGCCCTCCTTTCGTCAAATCCTTCTTCATCTTGATATAGCGTCAGCTGATGTACTGTCTACTCCACAGGAGACATACTTCAAGTCTCAGGTAAGTTTTTTTTTGGTTGCATTATGCTTACTCTTTGTGAACTTGCAATCAACCTTTGAAGACATCGCACCAATTTCAAAATTTATATTACTTACGTCAGACAAAAGATATTTTAAGCCTTCTCCCATCAATCAGCAGCCCCAAAAAAAGCAATAACCCTTCCATAATCAGTTTCTTTCTTGCGATTAAAGCAAAACACAATTCACATTCACCGGTTTGCAAACAAACACCTGAACAAGTATGTTGGAAATGGTTCCTCTGAAAAAATAGATAGAAAACAGAATATTTCTCCAGATGCACAGCAGAGAAGTGGATAAATCATAGCTTGGGCTTCGGTTGTGGCCCCTGTGACGGACAGAAAACAAAACTGGAGATTCTGCTATGGCCTTAAAAAAACAACCTAACATCTTAAAAAGAGTCAGTGGATAGTCCAAAAAAGAGCACTGCATGCAAGAATCTCACAGAACTTGAAGCCTTTTGGAAGCAGCTGCGTATCGGTGTGCGCAGCGGCAGAGAAATGCAAATGCTCGCAGAATAATCCGGAGGACTGCTTTTAAAGCCAGCTGGAAAAGTAAATGAATTGTGCCCCTCAACAGGCTGAATGGCGGGAGGAGGTGAAACAGCACTTTGAGAAGATTAAATCCGAGGGCACTTGTATCCACCGACTTGATGAGGAACTCATCAACCGACGCAGAGAGGAGCTCAGGTCAGCTCCTCACCCTGACATCTCATTTGTGTTTTTGATGTTCGCTCAAGGCCTCGCCCTATGCCAGATTATTAATAATCAACAAATCCTTTTAATTCTGTGAAGTGGGTGCGTGTGGTGCCGCTTCTCTTTGTCCCTCTTGTTGCCTCGGCCTCTGGTGTACTTTGAGCGGACATCTGTTGCAACGGGTCTGGACTCTCTCAAGCAGATACACAGTGACATCAGCAGCCTCTTTTGTTTTCAGACATGCTTTGGACATTCGCGAACACTATGAGAGGAAGCTGGAGAGGGCTAATAACCTTTACATGGAGCTCAGCGCTGTCATGCTGCAGCTTGAGCTCAAAGAGAAAGAGCTGCAGAGGTATATTCAAAACCACACTAAAAAAATCAATGAGAAGAGCCTCACAAATGAATCGGCCACAGCTTGTTCACATGCAAACTTTGGTCCCTTTTTTATTTTTATTTTTTTCAGGAGAGAGCAGTCTTTGGATAAAAAGTATCCAGGTTTGTTCAAGCACCACAGCTCCAGGCAGAGCAGCTCCTCCAACTCCATGGACAAACTCATCAAGAAGAGAAACGTGCCACAGAAGCTGCCCTCTGGAAAGAGGTGTGAGATCTCATTTCAGTGGGTATTTGGTATAAGATTCATACTGAAATTGACAAATGAATATTCGCCAGGCTTGCGGAGCATGGCCGCTGACTAATCCGTCCCACATTTTTTAGGCCAGACATCCTCAAGTCTGAGGTCATCCTTCCCAAAATGGATTCCTCTGTAATGCAAGTTACCATCCCGGCCTGCCCAAACCGGAGCTCCACCTCTCCCAGCCGGTCTCGGAGAGTAAAAACCCGCCATCGCAAGCCAGGTAAGGGCAGCAGTGGGGACCTGGCCGGACTTAAAGCCAACCAGTCCTGCCCTAACAGGGACGCCACTGCCCCGGCTAACAGTTCCACCACCAACACCTCCAAGCAGCTTTTGGACCCCTCCTCGGCCCTGCGGGGGCTCGGCCACGAGCAGCAGCAGAGGCAGCTCTCGTCCTCCAGCCCCGACCTCATCTGCACCACGCTAGAGGCCGAGGGCCAGGGGAAAGGGGAGCCGAAAGTTAGCGGGCTGGAGAGGGGGGGGAGCCTCAGTGCTTCGGCGGGTTTAGGGGGCTCGGACGGAGGGGCAGCGGGCCTGGAGGATCTGACGGAAACCCCCCCGCGCAGCGACACTCCCAGCGAGGACGCCGCCTCGTTTCCCTTCTCCAGCAGTCCAGACTCCCCGTGCGGGCGGGGGGCGGCAGGGAGGGGATCCCTGGGGTCTCCTCGCCTCCCTCACGACGGGGAGGACAAAGAGGAGGGGGCCGGTGCCGTGAGGTTACCGCGGGGGGCGTCGGGGGGGATCGGGAGCCAGCACCTCACACCCTCGGCCATCCTGTACCGGGCAGCTATCACACGCAAGCAGGTACAGGACTCACGTCTGTCCAGGCTCCTCACCGTCCCTCTCACAGGGCTGTGAGCAGTTTTTGCTCTCCCTCTGATTACAGAGGCGTGGAGTGTCATCGGAAGAAGAGGAGGGTGAAGTTGACAGTGAGGTTGAGTTGCCACGGAGACGGTGAGTAACTTGCAGTCCTTCGTCACTGGAAAATTCCCTAAAGCCATGTTCTTTCTCTGAGTTTTTTTTTTCTTCAGGAAACAAGAATGTTCCCTGTTTTACAGTTTGCGTCACTCTCAAACTAAGTGATCTTTAAACCCCTTTTGTTGTTTCTTATCTAATCTCTCCAGACGTCCGACCAGCATCACCAAGTGCCAGTCGGTGTCTACGTTCAGTTCAGAGAACCTGTCGGTATCAGACGGTGAGGAGGGCCATACAACTGACCACTCCCACAGCGGGACGCCCGACGTGGTCAGCACCAACACTGACGACAGGCTGGATGACCGCAGTGACGATCTTCTCTCTCAGGGATCGGAAATCCCGGCGGACAACACTGATCCTGCACAGGCTTCTGATGGTCTGTCAGAGAGGGACGGAGCACTGGGGCAGGAGAAAGCTCAGCTGGATGCTGGACAGAATCCTAATGAGGTAAAGAAGGAACACAAAGCATCACACCGACGCCTGCTACCACATGACGGATGTGAATGAGTCCTCAGATTGTTTGGTTACAATACGGTTTCTGATTAGGCTCCCAAATGGTCAGATATCTAGCATTTCAGAGACAAGAAAAAATCCAGAAATTGTCAATTGATGAAAAAACAATCTTGCAGGGTGTTTTAAGTACAACTATGCTCTCTAAGTCCACAATATTATGAAAAATATTATCTTTAGATTCGTTTGGAGACTGAATGAGCTTGTTGAAGGATAACAGGCGTGTAGAAAATTGACAAAAGAAACTTTAAAAAACTGAAACTGTGAAGACCTTTTTGTGGAAGCCATTTTTTGTTGCTTTAGAAAAGCAAAGATAAAAAAAAGGTCTGGTGAGTCGTTGTTTTGGTTAAGAATGACGTTCAAGAACTGTGAGTGAGTCACTCTAACCATTGTATTCATTTATGTCTTTTTAATCATTAATGGCTGAAGCCAGTGATTTACTGTATCATTACACTTGCTGTCGATTTTGCGAAAGAGCTTTTTTTGCGCCACTTTGAATGGACAAATCTATAAATAGCATTCTACTTTTTTACGGAAAAAATCTGAAAAGCACAGAAGGCAGTGCCTGTGATGGACTGTTCCTATAGATCAAGTGTTGCTTTAACTTCAATGCCCACTTCCCACCGTGGCTCACGTTTGACACCGTTTTTCATCTTCTGTTCTCTCTTCAGAGCCGGGCCCTGTGTGATGATTCTGACTGTGACAGTGCTGAGCTGGATCAGTCAGGTAGCGGAGAGCCTAGCCGTCCTCCCAGTGCTGGAGCCTGGGTGCCGCCGTCTCAGCCCTATCAGGGATCTCCACAGGCACCGCACACAGGACCTCCATAGCTCACTGGACACAAGCAAAGACCTCCGGCGACCCTTTCAACCAGATACCATCATAAGTGGACAATCTGTCAGTGCAGTACATTACTGTTGCCATGAGGGATCACACCTTCCACCCCACTCAGACTATGACAAGTGGACTTATGGTGTCTCATAAGTTAGTTGACGGGAAAACCTGCATCAGAGGACATAGGACGTTTGTCATACCCTGATATAAAAGATTTTGGCAGCTTGTGACATCAGATAAACACCATTTATGTTAAGTAAGGTTCTCTTAGGCAACGTAGTTACCACGGTAACTGTAGCCACTGCTCCAGTTCAGCAAAAACCCCTCCTCAGACGCACAGGTACGCACAAAAAGGTAACACTCCTAGTCTAAACACTTTAACCCTCACTTTGGAGCGTCCTCTGTGGCGCTCCACACACTAATGCATCAAATACTAATGAATAATAATGTAAATATCCGTGACATACCACGTGAGAAATATCTAACTTTATTTTATTTGTAAGATGAAATGTAAAACTTAACAGTATGCAGCCTTGTGAACAAATGCATGACTACATGTTTATAATTTATGGTTCGAATGTGTCCGTTTTATATTTTGTGAAAGTTTACACTTTTTTAATCCTGAAAGTATTAGTTCAGTTATTATTATTTTTGTTTTTGTTACTAAATGTAAGCACTTAAAGAACAAAAAAACCCAAAATGGAATGAAAACCACATGAAGTCATTGATCACAATGCATAAATAGGGATCTCAGTAGATTACATATATATTTTTCTTTAACCCTCTTACTACCGAGTTTCACACACAGACACACACACACAAACACCCACACATATGAGGTTTTTATTGAGTCTAACAAAGCTTTAATAAGATGGGAAACCTTTGGACTCACTCAAAATGAACCTTTGCCGTTCAATAATCTGTGAGTTGACTTTTTATTCGGTTCAGCAAACTCAGACATCTTTCATACAAATAGGATGTTCAAATGATAGAAACACCAGTGTGCTGTGTCAACACCTTTCCAAAAACAATTTCTTATGAATATAAGATATTACACACACACAACTCAGCATTATAACCTTTATACTGGTGGCATTCATGGTAGGACTGTTACACTAAAGTACACAGATTAAGTTGGCAGCTTATTGTTTAACGGGCTTGCTATAGAGAAGCTATTGTCATCCTTTAAGTAGAACCGTGAAGATATAAATATTTTTTTTGTCAACATGATCATCTGTATTTTTGCAAAAGCACTCCAAATTAAAAAAAAAACTTTAGCATTGGACTGTCACTAATTGAACAGTGTCAGTTATAATTAGGTAACTTTTTTTTCCATCAGTAAATTTGAATAAATTCTATATATATATTCCATAAATTGTCCGCATTTGTAAAAATCTGGCACATGTGATAATGTGACAATACCATCAAGAGTAGCACACATTCGCTAGGCTAGCTGCTAGTTTCTTGTCTGTCTGAGATGAGTATGCCGCAGGTGTTTACTTCTTTTTTGATAGTTTCATATAGAGTGTAAATGCATTTCAGAGGGAACTTAACTTATTTCAAACTGCCTATGGTACTTTATAATTCCTTAATGTCCCTCTCGGCCCCAGCACATGCTGACCTACGGAGCATCACTTTATGTGCTGCTTGTTACATTTCCGTTTAATGAAAATGAAAACAGAAATATGGTAATAAAGTTTGACACAACACTAAATAATTAGTTTGGGCAGTTCAAATGGTGTAAAATATTGTTGTTAGAGCTCCTTCATAATGAGGAACACTCATAAATCAGTGTTTTGACTGAATGGATGCAGAATTAAGCCACAAAGTAGTACTTTACAGTTAAAGCTCTATGAAATTGGTAGTGGTGCCACTTTTGTAATGAACCTAAAGGCCTCCTTATGACGTTGGCAGGCTTCTTAAAAACCTCATCTGACTTTTACCCTTTAAATGACTGCAGGAGTAGCCAGATAAAGAGTAGTGCACTTCTCTGTGGTGGTTACACGTAGAACTGTAAGTATCCTTTGGGTTTAAATATCCATTTTGTTTTTATACAGCATTGCACATTGTACTTGTAAGATAGGAATTATATCAAAAGCTAAATATTATGAGCAACAATAAATAATGTATTGGTTAAAAACAGATGTGTGAAGTTTGTTTAAGAGGACAGGACCCGAAGAGAAGAGAAATAAATTATTTTCAGTTACTTTAAGCATGTCCAAAATGTTCCAGTGTCATTTTTTTATGTCCAAAATGGTCCTTTCACACCTTCATATCTTACATTTAACATTAGAGGTGGGTGACAGGCACAGGGAGAGAATACATGTACACAATAATGTGTGTTTAAGCATTTCACATCTTTTATTTCTGTAATTCATTTCTTCAACAATTGCACCCAGATCTACAATAGTTTGAAAACGTGCACAAAAACGTGAGTTTCTTCATCCTGCAAAGAATAATAAAAATAAAATCTGACCCAGGCAAAAAAAGGATAGCAGGGAACTAGTGTTAATTCTATAATTCTTCTTCTAGTTAATCATAATTTAATACCTCAGCATAATATACTTATAAAGACCAATATGTCTTTGTAGTTTTGCCCCTTGCAACATTCCCCAGCCCTGCAGTTAAAAAAAATATTTTCTCTATTTAAAACAAACATTTCAATGTTATCATCACTATGGTCTTAGTCATTTTTGAGAAAAGAAAATATTTTCCTCTCATTCTGGCCCCCCTCCCTTCCTCCTGGTGACCAAGGCCCCCCCGCCCTTATCAGAATCCAATACACAATGATGCTCAAAAGTCCCGATTGACCAAAAAAAAAGGATGGAAACACAGGAATGACACAAAACAATTACTCAGCAAGTTAGAGGCGAGACATGATGTAGCTTAAAATGATCTTTTGAACCCGCACTAAAGAGATAAATCACCTCCTGACTTCAAAGTTTTTCCTGCATACAACTTCAGCTCCCTTACATCCACTAAAACCCGTTAAGCCCACAATGCCTTATTCAGGAAGTACAGCTTCAAATAGTAAATGGCAAATATCAATGAATTTTACTTGTACAAGGAGTATTAAATAAAAATAAATAGATATTTAAAAAGGGAAAGAACAGTCCATCTATAATGTTATTGTGTCTTTTTTTTTTCTGAATTTTTAACATTTTCTAAGAAAAATCTGACATAAGAAAAACATTATTTATGCCTTTTCAGATTTTTCCAAAACGCTTAGCCTACAGTATATCAAGAAGATCATACAGATATACAGCAAAAATAAGAGGAAAAAAAAAATGAACTCTGGAAAAAAAAACTATATGCAAAGGGAATTTAAAAACAATAAATAAATAAAATACCAATATCTTGATGGTGTAATTACAACTCTGAAGGTGTCTAAACAAAGCAGGAGAAAACAGTGAGTCTATAGTACTTGGTTTTTGCATTAAGTTCAATAAAGGACCTCTTGGTAAAAAGTAGGGGGAGGGGTTCCATTAGATGAAGATCCTCCATGTCAGTTGGCTGCAAGTCCAGTAGCTTCAGAAGACAGCCTGAGCAGAAAGAAGAAGCTTTAGACCTGATGTTTCCTCCATTGTAAAAGTATCGCTTTGCACAGAGTGATGAAAACTATAGCAAGAAATCAAATTAAACCTGATAAAAATAAAACAAAACATATATAATAGCCTTAAAACATGTTGATAACAATACAAAGTGTGAGGAAAGCTCTTAAATGCACCAAAACCCAAAATAATTTAGTAGAGAATGATGACATTTATGCTTATCTCGTTTTGTTGTCATTGACAACCCCCAGCTCCCTAAGCGCACGGGTAAAGTACACATAACATCCATTAACTCCTGAAGTAAAGAACATGCCTGAGGGAGCAAACAGAGTGACGGATATCCTCTCTTACCGGGCATTGATCAAGTACTCGGCCAGGCTGATACTGGCATGAGAGCCGGTGATGGTCACCTGCCGGTCAGTGGAGCCCTCCACCGGGTTGGCGATCTTGATCTGAGCCCCTGACATCTGACGGATCTCATTGATCTTTGCGCCCTGACGGCCGATGATGCAGCCGATGAGCTGCAAAAGTTACAAAAAATAAATGAGATGAGGAGAGAAAGACCATCCAAGCGATGCGTTTCAAAGACACGGAGGAAACCAGTGGAGGGGGGGGGGTCAAAAAGAGACTTACATCATTTGGAATGGTCAGCTCATGGGAGCCAGTTTGTGCAGAGGCATCCATCCCAGCTGAAGGGGTAAAGAGAAACAGCATGAGTGGGCCTGCGCTACACTTAACACCCACGTTCTGCACCTTGGGGGGGGGGGGGGGGACCTACCTTGGAAGCCCTGGTTGCTGTGTGCAATGGGGAAAGGGCTCTGCTGCATGGCCAGCTGGTGAAGCTTGGTGAGCTGTTGCACGAATGAGGGGAAGGACACAGAGAACGGACACGCGGAGAAACGTCAGGAAGAGGGAAAAAGACGACAGAATCTATTTTCAAATTGTTTCTCCCGTTCGGAAGTGGTTAGTGTGGGTAATGGGTGGAATTACAGAAATGGAGGATGGGATCTGTGATTTAAACATGCATTTTAAAAACATGATAAAAGAGTGAACTTTTTGTGAACAAACTTTATCTGTAATCTACTTTTTTTTTTTTAAATGAGTATGTATGCCTGGAGGTGGTGGCTGGGGAAAGAAAACAAGAGTAGGATGGAAATAAGGGGGTGGCATGGCTACAGAGGAGTGAAGTTTGCAAAAAAATATTGGATCACTTACAGAAGGCCCTTCACTTACATCAGGCTGTGGAATGGCGTGCTGTCCTTGGACAGCGTAAGCCTGCAAGGACAGAACGGCACTTAAACGGAGTGGCAGTGTCACACACGGTCCACTCCAGTGTCCCACCGGCCCTGTCCTGAGTGTGCCACCAGAGCAGAGAGCCCATGCCCCCCTCCCCCCCCCGACCGTCTCAACTCAAGCAGTGTCATTCAAATGAGGCGATTTGCCGTTTACCTGACCACCTGCAAAGATGACGGGGGAGCCTGAGGGTTTGGGTCTGTAGGGGATGGTCACTCCTTTTGGTGGAGACTGAAAGCAGACACATCCATCAGCATCCGCTGAGCGAGAGCAGCCACAGAACACCCCCCCCCTTACCCACCCCACGCCGACTAAAAAGGCCCGTACCTCGAGCATGACCACGCAGATCTGCTTGACGCACTCGATGATGGACTGTGGGGTCCCTGCGACGGTGATGGCACGTTCTGTGGAGTTGGGCAGCATGTCCCCTGCTACTTGTACCTGAGCTCCTGCAGACTGCGGAGGAGAGGAAACCGACTCCGTCAGCCACACACCGGGGACAGGACGCAGATTTATTTTCATTTAGAAAAAAAAAAAATAATGAAGGGAAACTGACCTCTCGAATTTCTTTGATCTTACAGCCCCCCTTGCCGATGAGCGAGCCGCACTGGCTGGCGGGCACAACAAGGCGCATGGTGACTGGCGGTTTGCTGGTGGCTGTACTGTTGGTCATTGAGGTGCTGATGTCCTGAGGGGAGAGCGGCCAGAACAATCGAACATTGGAGAAAACGGATGTCTCCGTGTACCGTGTGGCCTCGCTAAGGATGCAGCGCGCCCTCTTACCTCCTCCAGTTTCTCTATAATCATGGAGAAGGCTTTAAATATGGAGGTGGTGGGTCCGGCCAGGGTTATGATCCTCTCCGGGCAGTTCCCCTCCGAGATGTTGATGCGAGCCCCACTCTGCAGGGACAGAGGAACCAGACCAAACGGTCAACCACACTGCAGCTGTGATCAAGTTCCCTCCAGACTGAACGCATTTAAGGACAGAATTTCAGAGAACTAAAAAGACAAAAAAGAAGATAGTACCTCCTCTCTCATCTTCTTCACGGACTCTCCTTTCTGTAGGACACACAAATATGCAATATTTACAAAACAAACCCCGCCGCATGTAGGAAATAAGCAGCTTTAGGGTAGCAAAACGCACTTACTTTGCCAATGATACTTCCAACCTCCTGCGGGGAGACGGAGAACAGCACGTTAACACAGCACATGCAAAGGACTTCAACTTGTGGGTTTTCACTACCAGTAAGAAAATAAATAAGGCTGCACACAGTACGGTGAACGACAAAAACGGAATAGGAAGGCAATTTGCAAAGAAAGAAAAAAAAAAAAGACAATTTATTCATCATGCAGGAGCCACAGCAGAGAGCGGACTCCATCAGACTAGGAGTAGCGCCGGACTTCCTGCGTGGGAGTCCTCGCGGGCCTTCTGGCCGGCCCACCTGTTCCTCCCCTCCCAGAACGAGAGGGACGGGGCAGCTGGGCACAAGATCACCCCCCCAAAGGCGGGAGAGTGTCTGCGGGTTAGCGCGTTCACTGGCCGTTTGGGACCCGGAGAGGGGTCGGCCAGGCCGCAAACGTCCCCCCCAACTCCCGAAAGGAAGCATCACAGGGGAGGGAACAGCAGCTTCTTAGGTTTTGGGGATGGGGGGTGGAGAGCATCAAACACAGCAGGAAGCCAAACTCACCTTCCCGTGCATGAGTAGCCTGATGGTTAGGGTGACATTAAGTCCTCCTTCTACCATGCTGGGGTCCATAGCTGCTCAGATTTCTGTTTCTCTGCTCTTGGCCACAAAGTGAAATTTTTGGTTACAGGCTGTGATCTCTGCAAAAAAAAAAAAAAAAAAAGAGGGGGAAACGAAACACGTTAGAGGCAGAGGCGCGAGCTGGACAGTGTGAAAACATCTCAGAGAGAAACCCTCGTTTACTGAGGCAGCAGCGGTGAGCTGCAGGTGGATGGAGGGAGGTGGACAGGAGCACGCGCGTGGACAGGAGCACGCGCGTGGACAGGAGCTCGCGCGTGGACAGGAGCACGCGGGGCACTTTACCCGCCACGGCCCCACACCACGGGAGAACGAGCCGTTTCAGTGCCGTAATTCACAGTGGACTGGCCCGCGTCCACTCATTCACTCCAGGCACAATGACCCACTGTCTCCGAGGGGGGGGGCCGTGTCTATTTCCCGGCACGAAAAAGATGATGACGGCGACGTGACTTCGAGAAACATTACGTGTAATAATTAGCACGCAAGTCGCCTGGGAATTGTACAGGTCAGACGGTGCTTCGGTTGTTAAAACGGGGGGAAAGCAGGATAACGTAAACATCCCAAATCCAGGTTTTGCGGGCGAGCATCACGGCTAGTCGTGCAACCACGACATGAAGGCTGAGTTAGCACGCAGACGCATCCGCCGTAACTTCCTTTAATCCACACTACAGGCTCCAGTAACGCGTTAAAATGATTCCCCTCATAAAACCTCCTATCTGTGAGATTCCCCGGCCGAGCAGCGGGTGGTAACTACTTCCCGTGGGCTCATTCAGTTACGGGCAGTTCGGTAATTTTCCATTTAGCGCGCTAGCATTAGCATCGCGCGCTCCTGGAAATAGCCGTATCCCGCGGCCTGTGGCTCGGCACTGAGTTACTCCCGTCCTTCACTCTGCGAGGGAAAAAGAGAAGCACGGGGAAATCACGAAGCCGAATTAGTGCGAGTCTTACCCGAACCGTCCCTTGAAGAGTGTTCAGGGGGTGGGTAGGGTGGCAAGGGTAGAAGGGGAGAGGTTCGGGAGGGAGTTTTGAAAGGATCCGGGGAAGAGGGAAGAGACACGGCTGCGTGATCGAACTCCACTCTTCTCTTCTGCTTAACACAAAAGACAAAACACGTTCAACTTTGACCCCGCCGCTGCCCCGCCCCTTCAGCGGGTCACCCCCGCCCACCAGAGGGTCCACGCCCCGCCCACCAGGAAGAGGGATTTCTCCTTTTTTTTTCTCTCGTACCGGGAGCACTTTAAAGGCAGGAGAAATTCTGTCAATGAGTGTGTTGGACGTACACGTTGTGCAGGTAAAAGCCACACAATTCACTCAAGTAACGATTATTAATGCCTTTATTTTATTTAGGAGCATTATGATAATTCTTTTGTATTATTGTCATGATTCTTTTGCACAAAATACTACTACTACTGCTACTATTATTATTACTACTACTACTACTACTACTACTACTACTACTACTACTACTATTACTACTACTATTACTACTACTACTACTAGTAGTACTAGTACTACTACAACTACTAATTAAGATAAAAACAAAAAAACTTTTCTTCTACGTCTTCTTCTACTTCTTCCTCCAATAATATATAGATAGTTATGATACCAATATTGTGGTTGTTAAACTTTTAATGGCTTTATCCAGTAAGTAGTGAATTTGAAATTAGTTGACTTTTACATATGTGAGATTGGGATAAGTAGACTTATTCACAAACTTTTAGTTTACTGAACTTTTATATTTTTAATGCAATGGTTTCTGTAACATTCTTGAGCACTTCAATGTTTTCTGCAGCGAGAGAGGGTGACATGTTGATTTAACAAATACATCAATTTTTCAGAAATTTCCGAAAAAGCTTTTTTTTCCATTTTTTTTCTATTCCCACACACGCGTTTCCTGAAGCTCAATGCTGTTTCTCTCTCTTTATCCGCTGCACGCTACCATGCCACTAGTTGACAAAGATGATTCACCCTCTGTGTATTTTGCAGAGCAAAAGGACATTTCAGTGGTTTGTGCGACGCCCGGAAAATCTCCCTCAACCCTACTGCAGTTGTGTGTGAATCCAACAGATGGCACAATAACACAAAGAGTTTTTGTCTTGAATCTGCCTGCCCTCACTGTTTGATATTATATCCTTGTTCAAGCTAATATTACTCATAGCTGGATGACTTAACAAAGATTTAGTCTGTATAAGATTACGTGTGGAGAATGAGTGGCACAGGGCTTAGAATCCACAGAGATGGGAAGCAAAACTCCTCAGACCTTAGATTACTCTGTGAAATGGGTCAGTACTCCGGTTTTAGATTCTTAAAAGAGGTGCCATTACTTATGAGTTTAAGTGACGAAGAAGAACAAAACTAAAAGAAAGACCTCAATAATAATGATTAGGAGAATACTTATAGTATATATTTTTTTTTTCACCACTGATTTTCAACATATACATTTTACCAATATAATTTCGCGCTCCCGCAATATTTCCCCTCCTGAAATTTGTTAATTTCACAATTACTTTACTTTTAATACAGATTATGAATGATGTTGCTTCACCAAGAAGTGATTGGTTGGATTTTGGCCACTCACACGTTTTGTTTCTTTGTCAGATATTTTGAATAAGAGGGGGCATGATAAAAACTACAGAAAATAAATCCACAGAGCTGTGACAGTGGCTCATTTACGGACTTAGAGAGAGAGAAAAAAAGATTAAATGAAATAGTGAAGGCCCAGAACTATGGTCTTCACGCTCTGGTTGACAGTGTATTCTGCCTGAACTCACGCTGCACATGATCATTAATCTGGTGCACATCAGAGCACCCGCAATACAATTAGCTGATGGAGTAGCCTGCCATTGTCGGTAAACTAGTCCTCTGGATGGTTAAGCTTTCATAAATCCTATTCTGTAACAGAACCCATGTCCTGCACAGCATGGTTTGGACTCTGGTGTATAACTCGTGAATCATTTCTGGCTCAGTTTCATGGATTTAGACTCACTCTGCTTTCCATAGATTGCCTCCACATAGATGGAGTGGAGTTCTGATATTCTAAAAGCAGTTTGTTTCAGTGCTTTCTCTTTTCTTCCACAGGTAATTTCTCCTGTAGATGTCAGAGTTGACTTTATAAGCTACATTTTCCACCTCCAGGTGATTTGTGAACAGTGAGGGTTTTAGTCTGTTCCACAGGCAGAATAAAATAAATTTGAATAATTGGAGGTGAAGAACAAAAAGCTTTTTTTTTCTTTTGTCGTACAAAGATTTTTAATTAGTGTAACAATGGTCCTCACTTCTTTGATCTGTAACACAATCACTGAAAGCTGAATGATACAGAGGAGAGGAGGTGCAAGCTCTTCAGGTTGTTTCAACCGTCACATGGTCTCAGTGGCCTTTTGTGCGTGTCCCTCGTTAAGCTGTTGATTACATAATGGTCCGCTGAGTTTAATCACAGCATCTTTCCTACAATGTTTGCTCTTATTCATGCTCCCCTTGCTTTCCCCCTGTCAAACCACTGACCAAATTCATTATTTTGTCTCCATGTGCTTTCATCACACAGGCCCACTGGCACTGCCACTCTCTCCTCCTCTTTCCTCCACTCCTGAGTGATCATTGATTATCATACATGGACTGTATGACGAAATGCCACTCGCCCTCCAAACATCCTCTTGTCAGCTGCACCTGACATCTCTATGTGAACAGCAACCTCTCTTTGCTAGCATGTCTTGTTTACAGTTTGGACACTTATGACACTTGTCTGTACGCAAATATATATTTCGTGTCAAAGTAAGAGCCAAATATACAAAAAGAAAAAACATATTTCCATCCATTCATATATTCGAGACGCTTAAATGTGTTTTTATGCAATTCCTAGCAACAGGGAATGTTTCCAAATGAAACCAAAGTTCCAGGTACGCTGTCATCTGGCGTCCAGTTCATTTTCCCTCTTGCCAAAGCAGGATCAGTGTGTGCAGGTGGGCAGGGATTGACTTCTTTCTTTGTCCCAGACAGCAAGGCCAAACCCACTCGCATGCAACACAAGTTGACAAGCTTCTATGTGGTAAATTACGTTTGACTGGTAGAAATAATACATGAGAGGATGGTGTAGCTAAAGGCCCGGATGGAAAGAGGTTCTGAAAGGTGTTTTTTTCATGTCTGAATGAGAAAACGTACTTTAAACTTTCATGAGCCCAGACCAGGGTAATTTACTATGAGATTACTTGATTGGAGTTAAGTGATAAAACAATAATTATTTAGGTTCTTTCTTTTTGCACAGCCAGTCTGACCTCAGCTCCATCTTTAAGCTGCTTTCCCACAGCATGCCGTATATTTCCAAAATAACAGCTGTGTTCAGCAACACAAGAAGAGATCTGTTCTGCTCCCCAGGGCATGGTCGAAAAAGCATGATCTACAGTGAAAATGAAGCATATCTAATGAGCTGCCTGACGTAGTTTATCATTTATGTGAGCCATGGTCCCCTGCCCCCCCTCCCCCCTCGTTCCTCCCCACCACCACCAACTCTGCCTGTACAACCTATGAAGCCAAACTCGTAAAAGTGTAGCTCTTGAGTGAAGCTGAACTCTTTGAATTTCTCTCTTTTCCTGTGGATATTTATGAACTCACACCGGCTTGGCTGCTGCTGCTCACCTACTTCTCACCATAAATAACAACAATTCCAAGCCATCCCCCTGGCAGCTTGAGAGGTATATCTCACATTCAAGTCTGCAGAATGAAAAAAAGAAAACAGCTACTTCTTTTAACGTTTGCAATTTGTGAAAGGGGCACTTTCCTTCCCTTCTCTCAGCAAGCGTATTATCCTTCAGATGGCCATGTATAGAAATATAAGCTCTAAAGCATGCAGACCTCTTGTTTTGCTGATCAATCACTTTTCTTCCATATAACTTGAATGTTTTTCAGCCATAAGCCTTTAGCGTACTAAACAGAGCACATTTTCCGCACGTGAAGCCCGTGCAATTTTGCATGGTGGAATCTTTTGTTCACAGTATCAAACACGCAGACTAAATCCAATTAATCCATTTAAACTGTAAATCGCCTGCAAATATTAAAGGAAATCATCTGGATTTCAGTGTGGAGCCTGATGGCACTCTTAGAGCCAGAGAGGAGAGGACTCAATTGGTCACCTGATTAGCGACTGAATATTTTTCTAAACATTAAAGGACTTGGAATTAAAATTAAAAGCACAAAGCACACAAACCTGCGCCCACAGCGTTAGCGCCTCTGCATCTGAACACCATGATTCGATCAACACGGCGAGGGTCTGCTCAGTCATTCGTGACTTGTCGCATCTGAACAAGACTCTTCCTGTCAGGGCAGAACAAAGGT